CCCCTTTGGGGGTGATCCCACCACCCCCACAAATACGTACAAACTATTCGGAAAATTTATCAAACTCGGCGGTCGTTGGGCGTTGCCCCTCTAAAACCCCCCCCCCCCCCCCCCCCGCGCAAGGGACTGGTCAATTCTTCGCCAGAGCTGGACTTTCTCAAGCAAAGTTCATGACACAGAGGTGGGGTTAATCCGTAAACTCGTTCTAACTAATAACTCGTTTTAACTTTTCTGAATTGTTCATATTTTAGAAATACCTCACATCACGTTATTCCGTGAAACCTTTTTCAACTCTCATCTTCCCTCCTTATTCCGGTTCCTATCGTCTTTCCCTTTTTCTAGTTCAACACATTATTATCTTCTTCGGGCCTGACTGCACGGCCGTCTCCAAGATCCTTTCTCTACCTCGACGTCCCTGTCTTGACACTGTTCTGAGCAGCCTCTAAGCATGTCTGCCTCCTCTCTTGATCACCTTGCCCTAGGTGGTCGTGTCGAATGGCTCGCAAGCCTCAACACGGCTGCTGCTCCCGGCCAGAATGCCCACCGGCGAACCTCCATCATCTGCACTATCGGACCCAAGACCAACTCGGTTGAGAAGATCAACTCTCTGTTAGTCTAGGCCTATCTATGCAAAACCCAGAAGCTAATCCTAGTTCAGTCGACAAGCAGGTCTTAATATCGTCCGCATGGTGAGAGAGTCTTCGTAACAACATCATTTTGTCACGTACTGATTTGAACTATATGTAGAACTTCAGCCATGGAAGCTACGAATACCACCAATCTGTGATTGACAACACCCGCGCTGCAGAGAAGCAGCAGCCTGGTCGACAAGTCGCCATCGCTCTCGACACAAAGGGGCCCGAGATCCGTACTGGTGATACTGAGCGCGGTGAAGACATCCCCTTGAAGGCCGGAACCGTCCTGAACATTACCACGGATGAAAAGTATAAGACAGCATGCAGCGCAGAGAATATGTATGGTGCAATTCCACTACAGGTATCAAATTTTGGTGCTAACAGAACCTGTAGGTATGTTGATTATGTGAACATCACCAAAGTGATCGCGCCGGGAAAGATCATATATGTCGACGATGGTGTGCTTGCCTTCGATGTGCTCAACATCAAGGACGACAAGACTGTCGAGGTCCGCGCTCGAAACAACGGGTTTATCTCCTCCCGAAAGGGTGTCAACCTCCCCGACACTGATGTTGATCTTCCCGCTTTGTCGGAGAAGGACAAGAAAGATCTCCGATTCGGAGTCCAAAACAATGTTGATATGGTTTTCGCTAGCTTCATTCGACGAGGTGAAGACATCCGTGCGATTCGCGAAGTCCTGGGAGAGGATGGTAAACATATTCAAATTATTGCCAAGGTTAGTAATGAATCATCATACGCTCTTCTCCTCTCCATGGTAAGCTCGATTGCTAATTAATGGGCCTGCAGATTGAGAACCGACAAGGGTAAGTGATTGCTGTCTCCAAAATCGAATCACCTGTTACCTCCAGCTATAGCCCCTAGCGCTGTAGAATATCTACTTCGTAAACTTCATGGCTGGAAAACGCTAACAAATAATTTTATAGACTCAACAACTTCGATGAAATTCTTCAGGAGACCGACGGTGTTATGGTAGCCCGAGGAGATCTAGGTATTGAGATCCCGGCCTACGAAGTATTCGCCGCTCAGAAGAAGTTGATTGCCAAGTGCAACATTGCTGGCAAACCCGTGATCTGTGCCACGCAAATGTTAGAAAGCATGATTACCAACCCTCGCCCAACCAGAGCAGAAATCAGCGACGTTGGTAACGCTGTTACTGACGGAGCTGACTGTGTCATGCTTAGCGGTGAGACCGCCAAAGGTGCGTATCCGGAACTGGCTGTCCGCGAGATGAGCAACACCTGCCTTGCTGCAGAGAACTCTATCCCCTACGTCAGCCACTACGAAGAGATGGTCACGTTGTCGAAGCGTCCCACGAGTGTTGTCGAGGGTTGTGCTATGGCTGCGGTACGGGCGTCTTTGGACCTGAACGCGGGAGCTATTATCGTCCTGTCAACGTCTGGTGACTCTGCCCGTCTACTGTCGAAGTACCGACCGGTGTGCCCCATCTTCATGGTTACTCGCAACGCATCCGCGTCGCGCTATGCACACCTGTACCGCGGTGTCTATCCTTTCCTGTTTGACGAAGCAAAGCCGGACTACGACAACGTTAACTGGCAAGAGGATGTAGATCGCCGCATTAAATGGGCCGTTGAGAGGGCCTTAGGATTGGGACTTCTGAACAAGAGCGATACCATTGTCGTTGTCCAAGGCTGGAGAGGCGGCATGGGTAATACAAACACAACACGGATCGTCAAGGCCGATCCGGCATCCCTAGGATTAGGAATGATGCATTGATCGATGCACTGATAGGAATAAGGAACTTTACGGATGGTAGTTTACTTAGGTAGTCTCTACGGCGTTATAAGTCAGAAGGCGACAGGATGATATTGTTGCCGACAAGAGGCAACTTGAGATGATCAATATATTATAAATACGATTATGTATATTTCCCTTTTTTGCCCCTTTGTGTTTTACGTGGTAGTGTACACGGATCCGTTCCGTATATATATTCTTTATTGTGCAATATATACCTTATGTAATGAGCTTGTCGAAATGCGGGTACCTTAGTAAACTCGTGTAGGCAAGTACACCTGCGCGAGTAGGTACATGCATAAGTGCGTATGATAACTGTGAGTAATTGAATAAATTTTATTCAACATACCCACTTATTAGAGCGGCAAGTGCCCCGCGCTTACTAGGGACCCCTCGGAGCTTTTCAACTTTGACTCACGCGAAACTTTGGCGGGGTCATTTTTGGCTTCCTACATCGTCTTGAGATCTGATTGATATTAGAAGTTCTTCATATTTCCCTCAGCCCCTCAAGCAGACTACAGTCCTGGAGGGCTGTCGCGCTTCGCCAAGATGAGCATCAGTTTCCCCAAGACAGAAGAAGAAACCGTGCAATTCTGGCGAGAGGTCGATGCGTTTCAAACTCAATTAAAGCTCACCGAAGGCGAGAAACGCTTCACCTTCTACGATGGCCCGCCATTTGCAACCGGTCTTCCTCATTACGGTCACCTTCTAACCTCTACTATCAAGGATATTATTCCCCGATATTGGTCTATGAAGGGATATCATGTCGTTCGTCGTTTTGGTTGGGATACTCATGGCCTCCCTATCGAATATGAGATCGATAAGACCTTGGGCGTATCGGGCAGAGATGCCGTCTTACAAATGGGTATAGAAAAGTACAATGCTGAATGTAGAGCTATTGTGATGAGGTATGCAGCCGAATGGAGACAGACCATTGAGAGACTGGGTCGCTGGATAGATTTCGACAATGGTGAGTCACGTCACTTGCCCAATAAACTGGTAACGAGGCACTGACGACGTGGGTGAAGACTATAAGTCTATGGACGTCAAGTTTATGGAATCTTGCTGGTGGGTTTTTAAACAGCTCCATGATAAGGACCAGGTCTATCGCGCATACCAGATCATGCCCTTCTCTACCGCACTCTGCACCCCGCTGAGCCATATGGAATCTAAGCAAAATGAGAAGACGACACAAGATCCAGCAGTGTTGATCGCCTTTCCTGTGAAGGGCAGGGACTCATCTTTAGTCATATACACCACAACGCCTTGGACACTTCCTTCTAACCTCTTTATTGCTGTCCATCCCGACTTCGAATACGTCGAAATTCTTGACGAAGACTCTGGAAAGCAATATATCCTTCTCGAAAGCGGAATCTCTATGTTGTACAAGGAGAAGAAGAAGGCAAAACACAAGATCGTTGGCAAGCTTAAGGGGAAAGACATGATCGGTTGGAAGTACGAACCGCTTTTCCGTTACTTCGCCGACCAGTTTGCCGACTGTTTCCAAGTCATAGGCGCCGACTACGTCGAAGCCGACGAGGGTACCGGTCTAGTGCACCAGGCACCCGCTTTCGGTCAAGAAGATTACGACGCTGCAGTCGCCGCCGGCTTCATAAGTCCAAAGCGCTTACCCCCGTGTCCTGTAGATGATAAAGGTCTCTTTACCGCTGAGATAACCGACTATGCTGGCCAGCACGTGAAAACTGCCGACAAGGCCATCGTCAAGGATCTGAAGGAGACTGGTCGACTACTGCTCGCAACTCAAGTGTCCCACGTGGACAAGTTCTGCTGGCGGTCTGACACACAACTCATCAGGAAAGCGGTGTCTTCTTGGTTTATTCGGGTCACCAACTCTATACCTGATATGCTTAATAATCTCGAGTCGACTACCTGGGTTCCTTCTTTCGTCAAAGAAAAGCGATTCACGAACTGGGTCGCGAACGCACATGACTGGAATATTGCTCGGAATCGGTATTGGGGTACGCCAATCCCATTATGGGTCAGCGAGGATTACGAGGAAATTGTCTGCGTAGGAAGCATTGCCGAGCTTAAAGAGCTGAGTGGGTATACTGGCTCGCTAGATGACATCCACCGAGACAAGATTGATGGGATCACAATTCCCTCTAAGAAAGGAAAGGGACAACTTCGCCGTATCGACGAAGTTTTCGATTGCTGGTTCGAGTCAGGCAGTATGCCGTACGCCTCTAACCATTTCCCCTTCGAAAATTCCGAAGAGTTTCATAACGGAAACTTCCCCGCGGATTTTATCGCCGAGGGACTCGACCAAACCCGTAAGCATTACACTTTTTGTTGAAGTTATACAACATCGGCTTGTATTTCGGAGGCATCTTGCCGGGGTACCGTTGTTGCTAACTGTGTCTGACTTTAGGTGGCTGGTTTTACACGTTAAGCGTTCTAGGAAATAAGCTTTTTGGCGTCTCGCCGTTTCGCGCGGTCATTGTGAATGGCCTGGTTTTGGCAGAAGACGGCAAGAAGATGTCCAAGAGCTTAAAGAACTACCCGGATCCTAAAACTGTTATTGATCAGTATGGCTCTGACGCCCTACGCCTCTACCTCATTAACTCTCCTGTCGTCCGTGGCGAGCCTCTACGCTTCAAGGAATCGGGAGTTAAGGAGGTGGTGGCGAAGGTATTACTGCCTCTCTGGAACAGCTACCGCTTCTTTTACGAACAGGCAGTCTTATTCAAGAAGACAACCGGCAATGACTTCGTCGCTCAATTACCAGAAACAACCAATGTTATGGACCGATGGATTCTTGCAGATTGCCAAAGCATGTTGCAGTTTATTGACCAAGAGATGGCCGGTGAGTCTATAACTTATCCGAAACAGGCTGTTCGCTAACCATATAGGCTATCGTCTATACACCGTCGTACCGCGTCTCCTACTGGTTATTGACAACCTAACGAATTGGTACATTCGCTTCAACCGGAAGAGGCTCAAGGGCGCTGCTGGCTTGGATGTTAAGGACACCAAGGCAGCATTGGATACCCTATGCCAAGTGCTATTCACTTTAGTTCGGGCTTTGGCACCTTTCACGCCCTTCATCACTGAGCATATCTACCGCCTCCTGCAACCGTATCTTGGCCACGCTCTTGCGGATTATCCCAACTCTAAAAGTGTACATTTCCTTGCGTTTCCGACTGTGCAGGAGTCACTCTTTGACGAGGTGATTCAGAGAAAGGTGTCTGCTATGCAAAAGGTGATCCAGCTGGCAAGGACTGCGAGGGAGCGTAAAACTATCCCATTGAAGACACCCTTACTCACCCTCGTAGTTATTGCTGACAAACAGCAACTCAACGATATCGAGGAACTGCAGGCGTATGTTAAGGAGGAGCTCAACATCCGAGACGTGATCCTGACAAACGACGAGGAGCGATACGGTATTCACCTCGAGGCTAAGGTTGACTGGCCGATTCTAGGCAAAAAGCTGAAGCGCGACGCCCAGGTTGTCCGCAAAGCACTGCCAGACCTGACGCAGGAGCAGCTTAGACAATATCTAAAAGAGAAGAAGATAACTATCATGGGTATTGAGCTCGAGGGGAACGATATCAATATCGTGCGAGCCGTAACTAAGGATAACCCTAATATCGCAAAAGATGAAGGGGTACAATACGAACCAGCCTTCTTGGAAGATATGATCATTCTCCTGGACACAGCATCGCATCCGGAGCTCATTGACGACGGGATAGCTCGAGATGTCATGACCCGTGTGCAGAAAATGCGGAAGACGGCCGGACTGGTTCCAACTGATGATGTTCGTATGCAGTATAGCGTTGTTTCGAACCCGGATGGTGTTCAATTCGAGACATTGGTATCATCCCGGCGATCTCAGTTTGAAAGTACCGTACGTGGGCCGTTGGAGCCTATTGCGCCCGAAGGGGCGGCGGAAACTGTCATATTGGAGGAGGAGCACGTTATCAGCAATCTAACCTTATTGCTAAGGTTGTGTCGGCTTTAATTAGACTACATGGTGAAGCTATAGAATCAGCTGGGCTATGTGATCCCAGAACTTGATGAAATAACTAGAAAACAAAGAAGAAGAAAAACAGTTGAGCTCAAGAGCCTACGAACAGGCAAAATCCACAACGGCCGGAAGTGATCACAGTGGAATGCCTTCCTTTTGAAATGATGTGTATTTGTGGATATCTATATTATCTCGCAGATAAGAGACTTGTTCGCTAACCATTAAAAATTATAACAATTAAAGCAATATTATGCTCGGGGTTACTTATTAGTTAGTTGATAGGATCTGAGGGCTTATCTCGTTTCTCCGTACAATAACTCCGCGTACGCTTAACAGGGTGAAAGACCGTAGCATCCAATGCTGAAGAACCAGCTGAAAACGTAAGCTTAGGAAGACAAAGTAATTATGAAATTTGAAACAAATTGCGTTTGAAGGTGAGCTGTATTATTGAACTTGGCTGTGCCTTTGAGGCGTAACAACAGGAGAGCTAATACATATCACTTATGACCTGGAAGGTTGAGAATCCAACGCTTTCAAAAAAGATGTCGATTCTTACCCTTTTCATGTTATCAAGATTAAAAAAGATTAAAAACCCACCTCGGTACCTCTATGTAAATACTCAAAAAGGGGATTATCGTGAATTGATTTGCTCAGTATGACCGTATGTGTATACGGATATGTACGTAAAGGCAAGGGTGACTTCGAAGGTCGGGGATTTGTCTAAGACAGCAAGGAGACGTTGATTGGCCGAATCCTGAGGAGTGTCCGGGCTACCCCTGAAGTTATATATATGTATCAACATGTACCTCCTGTCTTGGGTAATATTAATGTATCTAATTACTCCCAGTGGTACTTGCGATTGGAATTGTTGAAGAGAACTTTATTCACCGTTAGGAGGATGATAAAAGGAGTCGTCCTGTTTCTGAGCCTTGTACATGTCTTGTAAGACATTCTTGAAGGATAATTGTCCCACTACTATTTACGTTTGTCTTTGCGGAGTGTAGTAATAAGAGAATAGTAATAATAGCAAGGAATATCTGGAGGGACTTTAGCCTTTTAGGAGTCGGTCCCCGAGACACAGGGCATAGCGTATTATCGCATTGGCCCCTATTCGCATTGCAGTTAATATTACATACTCAGACTCATGCTACTTGCTTACAAGCGACGCTGTAGGCTAGCGGGATCATCAGTTCAGTACCTCTTTTTGGCTGCAGAGTCATAGCACAAGCGTCTATTGCAACTTGCGATAGGACTTGGGTATAGGACTTAGTGTTGCATCTCGAGGGAAATACATTATGCCACCATCATCACCGCCGCTATCACCATCATCATCATCAACAACAACGACAACAACAGCAACACCATCCTCACGACTACGATCCCCACCGTTACCAGCATCGACGCTGCAACCCTCTGTTTTCTCTCAACACTACCAACGACGACAACTGGAAAGTATTTCGAAGATAAGTACGGCAAAGAGTAATATAAATCATAGTAAAATATTGGATTACAATCGCGGACTGAACGGAGTGGATGGCGACGGTGAAGGTGGAGATGGAAGAATAATAGATGGAAGAATAAACGGAAGCATAAGCGGGACCTTTAAGTCTAGCGCTGTCCGAATCACCGGACACGGGCCGAAAAGCGAAATTACCGAAGCCACGGCTCAAGTAGGAGAAGCAGGAGCGGTAAAAGCAGGTACGACTACGACCGCGACTGTGTTAACTCTAAGCGCCACTAGTCGAAACCAAAGTCGTCTCCATCATTCTGCACGAGACTCTGCACGAGAGCCCCATCAAAACCCCCATCCCCTAATTCGTCACAAACATAACCCCCCCAGCCTTCCTAGCCCTCCTAATCCGCCGCCTAGAACCTCATCGCTTCTACCGCCGCCTCGTAGTGCCAACACGAGAACAATATCCCTTGCGATTCCGTCCGAGCGTTCGACTGATTCACCTTTAAATCACTCGCGCAACCATTCGCGCAGCCATTCGCGATCTAGTAGCACTGGCGGTGCAAGCGACGGCTTTCGAAATCTCAATCGCTGGTCCACGTCCACTACATCGAGCCTAGCTTCTAATCACAATCACGATCACGACACCCCCCAGCCCCAACCCCGACCCCAGTCCCAGTCCCAGTCCCAATTCCAATCTCAGAAGCCGCAACAACAACAAAAAGTAAAAGAAAAAGAAAAAGATCAACAGCAACAACATCAGGCGATACAATCCCCACCGCGGAAACTACGCAGACGACGACCTCCTAAAGATACGAGCGCGTCACCGAGAATCCGAAGACCATTATCGCCGCCTCCACCGCCTTCTTCCGCGCCACCGAATCTACCCCCTATCATCTCCCTTCCCCCTCTCGACGCGAACCCCGAATCGGTTGTCCGCACCAATCCTCCCGCGCGATTCATAATTTGCGCCAATTCGGCCGAACCGCAAGATAACACTTGGAATGACCCTACCCGCTCGAACATAGTCGCCAAAGGAAATTCTGCATTGCTTCCATCAGCGCCCGTTATCCGTGATATTATGTCTGAGAGGGAAAGGAAGAGCCATGCAAGAGGCCGCTCTTCAGCTACGAGAGGCAGCACCGACTCGACTCGGGTCAACCGTGTCAACAAGCCGTCGCAGAAAGCGATGTTGTCTAAAGCGTTAGGAAAGGCAAACGCCGCAGTCCAGCTAGATAATGCTCAGAATTATGCTGCAGCCCGGGATTCCTATCTAGAAGCTTGCGATCTTTTACAACAGGTACTTGCTAGAACAAATGGCGAAGAGGATAGGAGGAAGTTGGAGGCCATTGTAAGTTCACCAGTAGACTTTCATGGTCAACTATTGCTACTGTTTCTGGAATTGACTCATTCTCTTGTAGCGACTTACGTACACAAGCCGAATAGAAGAGCTGGACGAGTTACTTCCCACATATTTACAAAGTGATAAAGCTTTACCCGCAAGGCCGGAGAGCGCTGATGGCTATCATGGAGTTCAGATCGAATTGGCCGGCTCCGAAGACTCTGCAGAGGCCTCAGGGGGCGCGAAGATAAATATGGGCGAGTCTCCCCCTCCGGACGCGTCCCGTCTTCGGTCCTCTCCAAATCTCAACCAGGGTCAGTCGCTGCTCCAATCCTCCTTCTCGGGGTCCCGGATGCGCCGAAACTTCGAAGGACCTTCTCTCAATTTACCCCAACAGGATGGAGGCTTTGTACCTGCCCCATTATCACCCCGAAGGCCGGTATCGCCTACTAAGCCCCCTACACCGGAGCCCATTGTGCGGCAGGATTTCTCCTGGCCAGCTGACCACCTAGCACCCGAGAACAGGGCGAGGAGCCATAAGCGCAATCTAAGTCACGAATCGGGGTCGTGGCTGGATCCAATCGACGAATCAGGTGGCTCGGCTTCATCCTCGATTCACTCAAGGACCTCGTCACTGGGAGTTAGGAGGAAATATCTCCGCCATGCCAGCAGTAACACAGAGGCGGAGTTCGACGCCGCCTTAGACGCTGCAGTAGAAGCTGCTTATGACGAAGGATTCGAACCTATGGAATCATACGACACCGTCTACGACGATAACAATGATTCCGATACCGTTGATGTATTGAGCAATGCGAGGCGCAAGGTAGAAATTGCTAAGGAAAGAGTCCGACAAACCGAGCGTGAGGCGGCAATCGAGCTAGCCCGGGAACGAGAACGCCAAAGACAGCTGTCAATAGATCAGAAATCTCAGGTCTTCAGCGGAGATTTTTTTGATGCTAACGATTCAGACGAAGAAGAACTTGTCTTGGAAGAGATGGCAAGGAGATCCGTGATGGAAGAATTTTCCCCTAAGCATCGGTCACAGCTTTCACAATCTAGGATCCCTAGAGAATCTGATTCTAGCGGAACGACCCCTCGGACGTGGCATAGTTCGGTTGGCTCGAATCCTCCTACCTCTACAACTATATTATCAACAGTGACCGAGATGCCCTTGCCTGGAGCTCCCTCCAAAGGTTCGGCGCCGTCATTGCCATCCCCACCACGATCGCTTGCGCAAGGCTCCCCGTCACAGAACTCTCCAACGTCTGGTGTGCGTAACCGCCGTCTCTCCGGGCAAAACCCTAAGCAGCTCAAGATTGAAACCTCTAAGCTCGGCCAGCCGCCATCTATCTCCACGTCTACGTTTCAGACAAAGACGGCGGGTGGTTTTATTGCTCAACAAAGACAGGCATTGTCGGCGACAACAACGCGACCCGGACCTTTTTCCATGCGTGCACCCTCATCACCTGCTAGAGGCACTAGCCCAGCAGGGGCCACAGCTCCCCCAAGCCCGCCGGCGAATTTAACAGGTCCCAATGATCTTGAGGAACATCGAACCGACTCACCGTCCTCTGCGCGGCCTGGTATACACAAGAATTTCTCGTCTTCCAGTCTAAAGTCTCTAAGGACTCGTCAATTTTCTGTGTCGCATATCGACGACTCGGACCTCTCGCCCAACACGCCCCTTAGCCACCAAATTTCAAACACATCGATCTCTCGCCAGGCAGTAATTCCCGCATTGCCTACACCACTGGCAGCTGCCTTTCACGAGCGAATGGCGGGCGGGGTTGGTGGCCTACACCTTTTCGATTCCGATTTTCATTCTCCGACTTCCCACTCTCCTAACCAAGTTTACCATAGCTACCACCTTCCTCACAACCCCGACGTACCAATACCCCTAGAACCGTGCCCGTCTGATACCATGCTCCGGCCTTTCTGGCTCATGCGGGCCCTTTACCAGACGCTCGCTCACCCTCGGGGTGGATATATCAGCACTCGGTTATTTATTCCTCGGGATGCGTGGAAAGTCAAGGGCGTTAAGCTGCGCGCTCTCGAAGATAAGATTGCGCAGTGTGACTTCCTCACCGCGGCACTTCTCAAGCTCGCAAGGGTAGACAGTAATGACGCAGATGCGGTGCTCGAAGAGATGCAGAGTTTTGAGAATATTCTAGAGACGGTCCAGACGACACTTTCGCGCAAGCTTGGTAACGAGGTGGGCACACAGGGTATGACGCCCTTACGGGAGGACAGGGAAGCCGAGGCTGCGCCGCCAGTGCCACGTAGCGCAAGTGTTAGCGGGAAAGGGGGCGCGTTTAGCTGGCGACGGCTGAGAAACAAGGGCTCGGCTGCTAACATGACCAGCGCATACGGAGGGAAGACTAACAGTAGTGGAAGCGGCGGGCCTGGCGTAAGCGAGAGAGATATTCCGAGCTTGATAGGATCGGGGTCTATACCAAGTTTACCCTTGACAGCCCACCCAAGCAGTAGGCCTGCGAAGAGGGATCCCGCATCAGTCAATTTTGACGGACCGTATGGAAACTATATGGCGAGCTTAGCACGATTGTTTGACGCTGCGCAAACGGTTGGTAAGTGCTTATTCCAACAGCTCTGCATTTCCCTTCACGTATACTGGATACTGATGACTACTAGATCAAATTGCACGTCAAGTCGAGGACCCCGGCTTACGCCATGCGGATAAAACTCAAGTCGGGCTTGAGCTTTGCACCAGACATGCGGCTGAATTTTTCGGGTTTTATATCTGCCGGTTCGTCCTGGCTGACCTGGCGATGCTGCTTGATAAATTTGTCAAGAGGGGCAGCGAATGGGTGCTGAACTAGAGATGCACACGATGTGGATAAATCTTGTTTATATCAGGAGTGGGTTATGCTAGTTTCTATCGATACACTAGGGGGTAAACGTGTGATGAAGGGATGACGGTGCTCTTTAGCACCTACCGGAATGGTGTCACAATGAGATTCCCCGGAATAAGTTTGGTGGTTATGATTAGCACTTACTAGGAAGAGGAGGATTTACAGGATTGCGGCCTGGTTACTGGTCGTCGATATTCGCGAGGAGTATAACTATGAGTTCGGACTTGCGCCCAACTTTCTTTAACGTGTATTTCAAAGGCGCTGGATTATATCCCCTGGCTGGTCGTATGACTTGATGTAAGATACCATAGGTCGTTTACTGTCTGATCTCTGCTTCAGTTCGTCGAGCGATGTATACGTGGGCGACGGAGCATTTGTTAGGATTCTAGGCCGCGTTACGTCGTGTTATATAGAGGCGCGATGACAACCATCTATAATTGAAATTTTTCATTCAGGAGGGCGCTTTAAATCGCGCCCCATTCATATCAAGTCATTGGTCTCGATTGGACCCTGTTAGAATATGTTTACAGTTATTGGCAACGTATATCGACGGCATCAACAAATGCTCCAGAGATATTACCGTCATCACTTCTCCCTCCTATCCAGATAAGTACCTATACATCACGCTGTAGCCACTTCCACAATCGTCTTATAAAATTGCGCCGGATCGTGCGCAAACCGTCCCAAAAACAGCCCGTCCACTCCATCCTTCAGCCGCGCGAAAAGCCCCGGCCCAGCGCTCCCCCCATATAGGATCCTCGTGCTCCCCTCCCGACTCCGCACGCACTCCAGTCCCCGGATCGCCTGCGTAACAGCAACCACGTGCTCCGCGCCCGCAGGCTCCGCGGCACCGATCGCCCAGACGGGCTCGTAAGCTAATACCACCTCGGCGGTAGTAGGGAGCGCGGCGAGCACAGCTTCGACTTGCGTTCTGCACTCGTCGACGGCGACTCTAACACCCGCTTCCCCGTCTGCCTCTGAGCGCTCCCCGATGCAGATTAATGGGATCAAGCCATTGCGTGCCGCGGCTGCCGCTTTGCGCGCGGTGTCGGCGTCTGTTTCACAGAAGATACGGCGGCGTTCGGCGTGGCCTAGTTCTACGATGCGGCAGCCTACTTCGACGAGGACGGCGGGGGATATTTCCCCAGTGTAGGCGCCGGTGTCTTCGTAGAAGGCATCTTGGGCGCCGGGGAGGATGGGGATGGGAGAGCGGGAGTGTTGGAGTTGGCTGATGACGGAGGTGAGGCTTATATGGTCGGGAATTATAAAGATGTCGATATTATTTAGGAGGCTTGGGGTTGTAGAGGAGGGGTTTGAAGGGGAAGAGAGGATTTGCAGTAGCTCGTCGACGTATTGCTTTGTCCGGGCGGCGGAGAAGTACATTTTTGTGGAGACGCCGACGATGCGGCGGCGACGGGGAGGGGGTGCGGGTGCGGGTGAGGTCATAGTTGGTGTGATGTAATAATGTAGGTTAGGTTAATGCAATGTAACAAGTAACTATTTCAATTTGAGGCTAAATTCGAAGAGAAGCATTGGGGTGAACAGGTTTACGGGTTGCGTGTGAAATTATAATTATGCAGTTGAGGTGTCACTTGCGTTGGTTGTCGAGATTAGCGAGTCGGCTTTATAGTGTTTGAATCTGAAAATCCGCTGTGTGGGTTCGAGAGTTGTTAAAGTCTTAGGTACATGGGTAATTATATGTAAGTACCTCTTAAGCCTATTTACTTACATGTGAGTTTCTGACTTGCCTGTCTTATGAGATCATATGTTATACAGCGGTCCTCTTAACTTTGTTTAACTGCGTTTCGGCTCGGGTAGATGCAGTCTACCGCTAGCGTTCCATCTATATCTAGCTATTTAAGCTTTCGGGTATCCGGACCAATAAGTCACAATCCCGTCAGACTATCTTATTTACCCGAGTCTGCGTTTGATATAACCAATGCACTTATGTTAGTTAGTGACTTATAAGTGTTAGGCTGGACTATTCTATCCCCCTTTTACAGTGGTAGGGCCTAAGCAATGGAAATTCCCACATGGCATATGTCCCCTAGACCGACAGCGCGTTCTAGTTTATAGCAACTTCTCGAGGTCGCTGATAACTTCTACCTTGGCGGCGCTCGCGCTTTTCTCGTCAAATACATAACCCAACCACTCCTTAGCTAGCCTGCGCGCGAGTTCCAAGCCGATGACCCTCTCGCCCATACAAAGGACTTGGGCATTGTTGCTTAGTACAGCTCGCTCTACAGAGAAGCTATCATGGGCTGTGACGGCGCGGACGCCCTTGATCTTATTCGCCGAGATGGCAACTCCTAGGCCTGTACCGCAGATGAGCAGGGCCCTGTCGACCTTGCCATCAGCTACGAGCCGCGCTGCGGCCGCTGCTCGGTGAGGGTAGGCTGTCTTGTCATCTGTTGAGAGACTGCCAACGTCTACGATAGACTCGACGCGGGGGTCCTTTTCGAAGTCCTCCCTAATCTTGCTCTTGTAGCCAACACCGGCATCCTATGCAAATAATGTTAGTATCATGGTGAAATGTTACACATGAGTGGGTGAGTAAGTATAAGTGAAAAATATAAGTAGGATAAATAAAAGGAATCAAAGAGGAAATAAAGAAAAGTACTCACGTCGGCTCCGATGGCTATCTTCCACTTGGGTGCGGCGGCCATTATCGTAGTTTCCTATCGTCTAGCGTCTAGCGGGGGTGCAAGGAGAATGTAAGTGATAGTCGGGACTTGGAGACTTGGAACTGAACGGGCGGTGGTTTACTCCTGCAACTTGTGATACCCGGCAGGACTTAAGAAGTAAGAAAGAGAGAGTGTGACATCCGTTTATTCGATACCGTTGCTTCTTATTACTCGGTACACTAGACCCCTACTGCCTTGTTGCAGGACGTCTTGCATAGTACCTCCCCTGGAAAGATACATAAGACAAGCGCATTCTTTCTGTTTTGTCTTAAGCACTCCTTCCCAACCGTTGTCTCAAGCAGACGTTCCTCCCCCAAACCGGTCAAAGTGACCTTCCAAGTGACCTTCCAAGTGACCCAAGTGGGGTCGCTGGAGTATAGTGCACCTGTGCTGTTAATGGTTAATGGTATAAGTGTATAGGCAACTTCTCGGATTCCCCTTTTCGGCAATCCGATGGCAAATATCTGAATTTACCCCTACGGTTCGTGGTTCGCGGTTCGCATTTCGCATTTCTTTCTCGGCATAGTTATTCGTAATACACCCTTTTCCCACCCCTCCTTCGGTAATCATGCGGACCACGAATTTTGTCAATACCGTCGATACCGTCAATACCTATTCCACCCAGGTCCCTCTATGTATGTATGTCTCCCCTGTACTTGAGTTAGCCCCGTGGGGAGAGAGGGCCTGGACGCCTAAATGGAACCTAGACGAACTTGGATGGAACCGTCATTTACGAAATTAGGAGCCTTGCTGCCAAGTAATTTCGGAGAAGGTCCTTTAAGCTATAGGCGATGCGGTATATCATCGTCAGCGAACACAGAAGCTAACACTATGGCTCGATGGATCGATGGATCAAAACCTGTGGTGTTGCCTCTTACGGCAACCCTTTGCGTTCCACAATACTGAATCTCCATAATCCTGATATTTCGCGTAATAGAACCAGTCTTGTTTGGAAACCCCTTTCCTGAGCTCGAGCCTCTGCTGCCTTTGTTCGACGTGATAGAAAGAGCCGCTCGCTCGCCGAGTTTTCACGAGCTGACATACTCCTTCAATCCCACTTTAGTATCTCCTAACTCCTGTCTCATTCCCGTCGATCAACGCCGTGGAAATGTCAAAACGTCACTTATATCACTCCTCGGATGGGCTTGTTACCAAGTCTATTAGAGGTCTCATCTCCTACAACCCACTACTCAGCCTGGATGAACCTAACCGTGTGGTGTTCGACACGGCATACAATAAGTCCAATGTCTCCATAGTTAGTGGTGGTGGTTCCGGTCACGAACCTGCCTGGTCTGGTTATGTTGGCCAAAACTTGCTCGCCGCCTCTGTGGCCGGCGACATATTTGCTTCTCCCAGCACGAAGCAGATTCTTTCCGCCATCGACAGAGTGCCTTCGGAAAAGGGTACTATATTAGTTATTACCAATTACACCGGCGATTGTCTGCACTTCGGGTTGGCAAACGAGAAAGCCGTTGCTAAAGGCCACAAGTGCAGAATGATCATCTGCGGAGACGACGTATCCGTTGGAAAAAAAGGCAGCCTGGTTGGCCGGCGAGGTCTAGCCGGACAGTTAGGTGTTCTAAAAGTACTGGGCGGTGCTGCTGGTGCCGGCGGCTCTCTCGACCAGGTGTACGATCTTGGCGTTGCGTTCTCGCAGCAGATCGTTTCCATCGCAGCCACACTCGATCATTGCCACGTTCCCGGACGAGCAGAGTTTGAGATGACAGGAGATGACCAAGTGGAAATTGGTACTGGGCCTCACAATGAACCTGGCTATCGGAAGCTCTCACCTGCACCGTCGGCGGAGGAACTCGTTAATGTGCTATTAAAGTACTGCTTAGACGAGACAGACCCCGAGCGGGGCTATGTAAAGTTCAAGCCAGGGGACGAGGCCATTCTTCTCATTAGCAATTTCGGAGGCATGTCGTATCTCGAGATGGGAGCGCTGCTAGACGATTTGCTTGAACAATTAGCGAACAATTGGAATATTGTGCCGGTAAGGATAAGCAATGGCTTCCTCGAGACGTCTCTGAACGCGCCGGCATTCTCGATTTCCATCGTCAATGTGACGGCCGCCGCCGAGAACTGCTCATACTCAGTCGAGGAAATCAAGTCTTTTTTCGACGCTAAGACCAACACTTACTGGGAATCCATGACCGGTTCCCAAGCGATACGGCGTAGCAGAAAAGAGCAGTTTGTGCAGCTACCTCCCGAGCCTCACAAGGTGATTGAGGAGGGAAAGGACCTCAAAATTGACCCTGCTCTGCTGGATAGGATGCTTCGCAGCGCTTGCAACGAATTAATAGTCGCGGAGCCTGATCTGACCAAGTGGGACACGATCATGGGCGATGGCGACTGCGGTGAGACACTAAAGACGGGCGCAAGCCATCTCATCGCCGCGCTCGACAAGAAGCTCGCAGCCGAGGGCTCCGTGATCGCAGTGCTCCAGGAACTCGAAGAGATTGTCGAGGGTAAGATGGGCGGTACTCTGGGCGGTATACTAGGTATCTTCTTCGTCTCGTTGAGAACGGCTCTCCAGGAGAACGTTGCCCTGGCTAAGACCGAAGGGCTTTCGAAGCTATGGGCTAAGGCCGTCCAGAAAGCTTTAGATAACCTGAGCCGGTATACACCGGCCAAGGTCGGCGACCGGACGGTCATGGACACCCTGCTCCCGTTCGCAGAGGGTCTGCGCTCAGGAGATCTCGCGGGTGGTGTCGAGGGTGCGATTAAGGGTGCCGAACTGACCAAGACATTGGCCCCGAGACTCGGCAGAGCGACTTACGTCGGGGCGGATAGCAGCAAGGAACTGCCCCCGGACCCTGGTGCTTGGGGTGCCATGGTTGCTATAAAGGGCTTACAGTCAGGTATATAAGTGCATACGGGCCGTGGTATACTTATACCTAAGTATTTAAAGTGTATATGTTGTCATCGGCATGTCATGTACCTACATCAGCTAGCGAGTACTTTTTATTGTAGGGTATATTTGAGAGATAGTAATTTTATATGTTGTTAACGGATCAGAGCATGGAATGAGGTATTATGAAGTTTGGTGGTCAGATTTTTATTTTGACCTGCTTGCTTACAAGGAACTCGCTTAAGCATTAACAACATGTATCCCTGTCTATAGAAACCCGATATAATGTTTGCCCAATACTCTCGTTACGCCTTACCGGCGCTACCAAGCCAATGCATATACTGCTCGATAGCAGCCTGCATCCTGTCGGTACCCGCCTCGATGACGCTGGTGAGGGGCTTCCCCTGCATCTCCTCCTGCACGGCGGCGTAGTGTTTGTTCATACCCTTATTGATGTTGACCTTGGACACTCCCGCCTTGATACATCGCTTGAAGATGTCCTCGGTAAAGGGATCCGCGCCGTGTAGGACTAATCGCACGCGATCGCCTACTGCCTTGTTGATCGACTCCAATCGCTCGTACTCTAGCTGAATCCCCCGTGGCCCATATTCCCCGTGCACGTTGCCGAAGGCCGGCGCCAGCATCTCGATGCCTGTGGCCACGAACTCTTCCGCCTGTTCGGGAGTCGTCAGGATGGCTTCTAGATCGGCAGTTTCCGCCACGCCGTCTTCTCCGCCCTCGATCCGGCCGGGCTCGGCTTCGGTGGTAATCCCGCGCTCGTGGCAGTACACGGATAATTCCCGAGTTAGCGCCAGGTTCTCATCTTTCTCGTAGTGACTCATGTCGCACATGATGCTGTCGAAGCCATCTTCGATATCTGCGGCCCGACGCACCAACTCCGGCGTCTGCGCGTGGTCCAAGTGTAGGCTAACGGGCACTTTGGCGTTATGCGCGGCGTCGGCGGCGGCGCGCACGAGGGATGCGCCGGCGTATTCGATGGCCCAGGGGAAGAGGAGTACCATGGCGGGGGACTGGGCTGCTTCGGCGGCGCGGACGGTGGCAATTATTGATTCGATGTTGTAGCAGCACATGCCCGGTACAGCGTACCCGCCATCGCGGGCTTTGTTGAGGATTCTTAGGGAGCGGTTTTTGGAGAGTTCTGGGCGGACCATTTTGATTGTGGTTTCTGGTTGGAGCTGATTTGAACTGGTGAATGTATAAGTGGTTTGCTTTCTTTACTACTATTTAGTCTAGGTAGGATGCGTGAACGATATAAGCGACTATAGACTATAGTATACAATAGAGAGAACAAGTAGGCTGACCTAGTATATTATCATATTATTAGTCTTCTTCATCTCTACCTAGGTAGGTATGTGTCCAATCTATGACTACACACGGAATTATACACACGGAATTATACCGTCGCGAGCCACCGCACACCGGCATCTCTCCATCTCCAAGAGTGAAACAAGAGGCGTGCTGCCGTAATTAGTGGAGAAACAAACGTGGGGTCGCTTACCCTTTGACTCGACTCGCTCTTAGTGGTGATAAAACCTGCAACTTGACAACTTTGCCATTTTACCGAGGGAGGCGGCCCAGAGGACCAGGGCTGTTCGCCGGTATAGTTATCAACCGAGCGATCTCGGTGTAACTATATGGTTATATGGTGTATGTAGTTGAATGTATATAGACTTTATACATGCCTGCCCTGTTTCTACTCCGTTAGTGGGTTAATAGGCGACTGGACGAGTGGGTGTAAGTGGATGAGGCGGGCGGAGAAAGGGGGCTAGGGTCAAATAATAATAGTAAAGGCTGAAGTATAGCTCCCCGCCTCCATTCCCGGCAAAGATATGGGGGGGGGAGACACCTTATACACTTCAGCCGCTACTAGGTCCTATATGGATGGCACTTAGCCCGACTTGACTGGTCGTCTTCAAATTACTGGCTGCGTGGAAGACGGCAGGCTAAGCTTTTTTTGCTTTTTCTTTCATCTACGTACGTTACTCGTATACTCGTTTCTTATACGGAGTCTACGACAAGGGAATAGATAATACTGTAAGCCTTTTTTATTTTATTTTATTAGGAGTGTTGAGTCGTACACATGGCGAACGCAAAACCAGAGGTCTCGTTCATTGGCCTGGGAGCCATGGGCTTCGGCATGGCGACCAACTTGGTCAAGCAGGGGTATAAGGTGACAGGGTTCGATGTCTGGCAACCGACGTTGGATAGGTTCCAGGCTGCTGGAGGCATCATTGCTACGACGCCGGCAGAGGCTGTTAAGGGCAAGGATTACTGCGTGTGCATGGTAGCGACGGCGCAGCAGGCTCAGGCCGTTCTCATCGAAGGTGACAATGCAGCACTCACCTCGTTACCTAAAGGGGCCGCTCTGCTACTCTGCTCGACGGTGCCGTGCGCATACGTCCAGGCTCTAGAGAAGCAACTTATCGAACTGGGACGGGGTGATGTTCGTCTAATCGACGCTCCCGTTTCGGGAGGCGCTGCAAGGGCTGCCGACGGTACCCTTTCAATTATGGCTGGGGGCTCGGACGAGGCAATCGAGACAGGCCGCGTTCTGTTACAGGAGATGTCCGATCCGAAGAAGCTCTACATCGTCCAGGGCGGAGTCGGCGCCGGAAGTAATATGAAGATGTGTCACCAGGTCCTTGCGGCTAACCAAATTCTCGCTGCAAGTGAAGGATTGGGGTTTGCAAGTCACCTCGGTCTGGATCTCCACTCTACGAGCCAGGAGATTATCAAGTCGGATGCCTGGGCGTGGATGTTTGAAAACAGACTGCCGAGGATGCTCGATCCCGAGTTCAAGCCCGTTGCTAGCGCCCTGACTATCATCCTGAAAGACACGGGCATCATTACCTCGGAGGCAAGACGTGCCGCATTTCCTACACCCATGACAAGCACGGCGGAGCAAGTATACTTCTCCGGCCTCGGTCGCGGATACGGCCCAGACGACGATAGCAGTCTAATCAGACTGTACACAGAAGGCAAAGGGAAAATAGGACCGGTAAAAGGGCTAGCCGAAAGCGACGAGTCGAAGCTGGCCCTTGTTAAAGCGCTATTCAGAGGAATTTACCTCTGTTCTGCCGCAGAGACCATTGCTTTTGCAGAGAGATGTAATCTAGATCTAGACCAAGTCTTCGAGCTCTGCATAAACGCAGCGGGAGGAAGCGCGATATTACAGACGGTTGGGCCGGAGATCATCAAGCTTGCTCGAGGGGAGCTGGTATCGGCTGGGGACAGCCAGGGATTGAGGGAACATGCGCAGCAGCTCCAGGAGGCTGTTGAGGAAGCGCAACGGTTAAAGGTGCCGGTGTATCTTGGCAATCAGGCGCTTACCCTGACGCGGTTTGCGTTGCACTTTTCCCCCGAAGCAGCTCTAGATGTCTCGAGAGCTACTGTTGCAAAAGTATGGGGTTTATAAATGGATGCCTGGTATTCGGTAGTATATGCTGGGAGACCCAATGTGTGCTGCAAGTAGCTATATAGGCATGTATATAAAATACACTTCATAAGGAGACTTGCCTAGAATAATACATATAATATGAGAGGGTGGAATATATAGACTTACACTCAAGTAAAATTAGATGAGTTTATTAAGTTATTCCAGGTTTGCTGACAATGGATCGAACCCGGCCGATGAAGATACCTCATTTTAACTATGGTCAAATATAAACCTGTGGTATTAGTTTCCCGCCAATCCTGATGAATCTGTGCCAAAAAGAACGCCATGTACCTGATTCATTTTTTTTCTTCTTCAATTGCCTTTCCGCCAAGCCCCCCTTTTCTTCCAATTCCCTCAGTAACCACTCTGCTCCTGCCTATGATCCTCTTTCGCAGCCTCGCCCGCCTCCTTTATGGCTTCTTCGTCGCCTCTAAGCTTGGCAAAGTACTCCTTGATATCTTCAGCACCGATTGCTTTGCCACTCTCGGCGAACTGCTGGAAGAAGGGCTTGAGACGCTCCTTCAAATGATTATACGCCATGACGCCCTCGATCGCCCGGACGCGATCCACGTTCTTGAGAGCGGACTCACCGCGGTCGTACAGTGAACCGCTGCCGTGAGTCGAACCTTGCTCAGATGCTCCGTCCGAAAGAGGCGGCTCGTAGGCTTCTTCCTCTTCTAGAAGCTGCGAGTGAACCTTGAGATCCGGGAAGCACGAGGCACATTTGCAAAATTGGTCGCGGAAATTCGAAGTAGTAAACAACGAGAACTGGCCACTTGGTGCTGAAGGTAGAGATGCTAACTTGCATTCTGCGGCAGATGGAACTTCGTTTTCCTTCTGATCCTCGTCTTTCTTCTGATCCTCATCCTTGGCTTGTGAGGAACTTTCATCTGATTTGGTTGCGGGTGTGATATCCTGTGCCTCTTCAGACTCATTCTTAACGCGCTTGCTACGGTCGCTGTCCTCTCCCGAACCATCATCATCTTCTTCTAGCTTACGTTTCTTAGAGGATGCCTCACTATCCTTTTGAAGAAATACTGCTGGTAAGAATCCGGGGGTTCCAGCATATCTCTTAATCCAAGGATAAGCTTCGACGCATTTATAGCATATGAGATTTTCGAACGCGTCTTCAGTAGGGAAGCCGTCCGGCAGGGCAGGGTCTTCATCATCCTCCTCTTGGACTTCCTGGTTGCCATTGGCTTGCTGTTCCGTGCCATTCTCCTGAGTCGCATCTTCGGAAATAGTGGGAAGCGTGCTAGTACCATTACTATTGGCGCCATTGGCGTTGGCTTTGGGAACGTGTGCTTTCTGCTTTTCGTACCAATTGGATCCAAGGCCGACGAGACAGCCAGGATGATACCAATCTTCACCGCAACCACCAGTCTCATGCGTGCCGAGACCTAGGCATTGATACATGGTGCCCACCTGTTTGTTAGGGTCGTAATATATAGAACAGGAGCAAAAGCGATTACGGAAGTTGTGATTATATTTATTGTTAGGATCCGGCTGTTCGGAGTGAACGCCTCCTTTTGTATTGGTCTCGGGATTGATCCGAAGGGTGCACTGCTGTTCGGGAGTAAATCGCGTAGTACCGCAGTCGCAAGTGAAATTGCGCTTCTGGAAGATCTCAACTAGTTCATGTTCACCATGGCATTGGACAGAACATGAATAACACACGCCGGCAGGATTATAGGGATCGGATGGATTCGCAGGAGGTGGAGTACAAGTTAGACAGGCGAATACATTCTGTCGCAATGGTCCAAGTGGTTTGGTGCAGTTCTCGATGCTCTGGAGATAACAATTAATTAATTAGTAAATTGTTGAAAGGTTCGTCCAGGCAATGCTAACAACTTACATAGGGAAGAGCTTCGCGAGCATCGGCTTCCAGCTGCAGCTGATCTCTAATAAAGTCGGCGGCAGTCTGAGAGTCGTCAGACTGTTGCGACATGCTTTGGGTGCGCGGGCGCGAAGAGCTGCCGTTAGTTTCGGGCGCCTCCTGGGAGGTGGTCGGAGTTAATGATGGATCCATTATAATGACAAGAATGATTTGCACCAAAAAAAAGAAGGGGGGGGAGGGGGGACGAGAAGAAGAGCTCAAATAATAAAATAGTATTTGTAGATTTGTAGATGTGTCGGCGCGCTGGAAGGGTTGTGAAATAAGGCGCCTTAGTTTATGATAAGAGCGCGCTGCAAATATGATGTCACAGTGGGTGCTTCTCTAGAGCGATACTAATTCGCACTATACAATCAAGTACACCTTATGTGGAACTGCACGGTGTGCATTTTAACAGGGAATAGAGAACTCTTACTCTCAAGTACTTGCTATGTATCTTATAGTGTGTACATAAAATCTAAGGGTGTGTGTTTAGTGCCGCTTTACGCGAGCTTAACGCGTATGGACGCGACTTCCAATTCGTTTCGTCGCGCCCACCCCACAATCCACTTTAGTCCCCTTTCTCTTCATTTTCCTTCTTGGGTTCCACTCTCACTTTCACTGTCCCTCTTGTCCTCCCTCATTCTAGTTTCTCTCCACATTACCAACTATTTTCTCCAAGTGCTCTCTGGTAGAGAGTTAAAAAAAAGATACATAATGAGGTGAGTTCATTCTATACCAGGATATATAACTTATAGCAGTAAAATTTCCTAATCTGTTTCTAGTTCTCCTCTACGAATGAATATGGACTCCGCAAACCGCGGTATTGCCCCTCGTGCGAACCGCAAACGTTCCCGCACGGGTGGTGATGCTTCATCATCTGTTGCTGCCTCTAGCCCCATGCCCTCGTCTCCACCCGCCTTCAACATTGCCCACGGTGGTGACGACGACGATGACATCGAGGAGGAGGCTGAGGTCCAAGATGATTTGGACGACCTTGATGAGATGGCCGAAGACGATGTAGACCTCTTTCGTGAAGGCTTCGAGCGAGATTACAGAGAGAAAGATGACAACGATGCCTATGAAGGAATCGATATTGATGACGAAGGCGAATTTGACGATATAAACATCGGTGAGAGGAGAAGATTGGAAGCTCAGCTAAACCGCCGAGACCGAGAAGTAGCTCGTAGGCGGCATGGGCCCCAGGCTTTTCTCCAGGATGAGGATGAGGATGGTGATATTGATCTAACTGCCCAACCTCGTCGCCGCCGTCATCATTACGACGAAGATCCAGACGATGAGATGGACCAGGATATTATGGACGAAGAGCTCTCCCTTGAGGCCCTGCAAGACGTCAAAGCTGCCAGTTTGACCGAATGGGTGTCTCAGCCGTCAGTGCAACGCACCATCAAGCGAGAATTCAAGGCCTTCTTAACGGAATATACCGACGAGAGCGGCTCTTCGGTTTATGGTAATCGTATTCGAACACTTGGTGAAATCAACGCCGAGTCGCTCGAGGTGTCATACGACCATCTATCCTCGTCCAAGGCCATCCTCGCATACTTTCTCGCCAACGCTCCCACCGAAATGCTTAAGCTCTTCGACGACGTAGCCATGGATGTTGTTCTCCTTCATTACCCCGACTATGGGCGCATCCACTCTGATATCCACGTCCGCATTTTCGACCTGCCTGTTCACTATACTCTTCGTCAGCTGAGACAGTCGCATCTCAACTGCCTTGTGAGAGTGAGCGGTGTTGTTACTCGACGAACTGGTGTCTTCCCCCAGCTGAAATATGTCAAAGTCGACTGCACTAAGTGCGGCGTGACACTGGGCCCCTTCCAGCAGGAGTCTAATGTTGAAGTTAAAATTTCATTCTGCCAGAATTGCCAATCTCGCGGCCCCTTCACCTTGAATTCGGAAAAGACTGTTTACCGCAACTACCAGAAGTTGACACTCCAAGAATCGCCTGGAACTGTACCTGCTGGCCGTCTACCTAGACATAGAGAGGTCATCCTGCTCTGGGATCTGATTGACAAGGCCAAGCCTGGGGAAGAGATTGAGGTCACCGGTGTCTACAGGAACAACTATGATGCCCAGTTAAATAATCGTAATGGGTTCCCCGTTTTTGCTACGATTCTCGAGGCCAACAATGTTGTTAAAGCGCATGATCAACTTGCTGGGTTTAGGCTTACCGAAGAGGACGAGCACGAAATCCGCAAACTTTCTCGGGATCCCCAGGTCATTGATAAGATAATCAACTCGATAGCACCTAGCATCTACGGGCACACCGATATCAAGACTGCTATTGCCTTGTCTCTTTTCGGTGGCGTCGCAAAAATAGCCAGGGGTGAACATCATGTGCGAGGAGATATTAATGTTCTATTGCTTGGTGATCCCGGTACAGCCAAGTCTCAGGTTCTGAAGTACGTGGAAAAAACCGCGCACCGAGCTGTTTTTGCCACTGGTCAGGGAGCTTCTGCTGTCGGTCTTACGGCTAGTGTCCGTCGAGACCCTTTAACCAGTGAATGGACATTGGAAGGTGGTGCTTTGGTGCTTGCTGACAAGGGCACGTGTCTCATTGACGAGTTCGACAAGATGAATGATCAAGACCGAACATCTATCCACGAGGCTATGGAACAGCAAACCATTTCCATTTCGAAGGCGGGTATTGTTACCACCCTACAAGCTCGATGTGGTATCATTGCGGCAGCTAATCCGATCGGTGGCCGTTACAACTCTACGATCCCCTTTTCATCCAATGTTGAACTGACTGAACCTATCTTGTCGCGTTTTGACATTCTTTGTGTCGTACGAGATACTGTGGACCCTGCTGAAGACGAGCGTCTGGCTCGATTCATTGTTGGCTCACACAGCCGGAGCCATCCGTCTACCCAAGCTGCTGATGGCTCCATGGAGGTTGAACATGATTCCAAGGCGGCACAAGAGAGCCAAGCGCAACCAAAGAAAGAAGGCGAAATCCCCCAGGAGCTACTACGAAAGTATATTCTATATGCACGAGAGCACTGCCAACCGAAGCTTCTGCATATGGACGAGGACAAGGTTGCGCGACTCTTTGCGGATATGCGACGAGAGTCGCTAGCTACCGGAGCCTATCCAATTACTGTAAGCTGCTCCGCTTGATGTATTTAGGTGACAGCACTAACTTAACTTTCAGGTCCGTCACTTGGAAGCTATCATCCGAATCTCAGAATCTTTTTGCCGAATGAGGTTATCGGAGTATTGCTCTGCTCAGGACATTGACCGTGCCATAGCTGTCACTGTTGACAGTTTCATTGGTAGCCAAAAGGTCAGCTGCAAGAAGGCGCTCGCGCGCGCTTTTGCCAAATACACGTTAGCAAGGCCAGGTGCAAGCGGCGCACGGAGAGGCGCGCAAACTCAGCGTAGGACTACTGTAGCGGCTTAGCCTAGGGGAGCTTTTATCGTACACGAGGTGACTTAATGTTGGAAGATTATGAATTTACGCGGCGTTAAGAGCACGGCACTAAGATTAGGCGTTCAGCTTGGTTGATGATGATGCTGATACGAATGTGGTAATACGACTTGTGGGGTTTCAAGTGTTGTTTTTACCCCAATACGGATTGTCAATTAGGAGTCTATTAGAGTTGTTGCGTGCCTCTACACGAGCCATTTATTGGTATAGAGAGGTACCTTGGAGTTGGGAAACTAAGAACCGAGAATCATAATGTTTTGTTGGTATGAGATGAACTTTTGTGAAGTAGGTAGCCTTTTAGTCCGCTTCAACTTATACCAACCTAATATATCGAACCAAGTGTTTTGCAAAATACGAAATTCTGTCCAAGTAATCACGCTGTAATTCCCCATTTCTAATCATAATAGTTTTTGCGATGTCGATGCTTGAACGGATAACCTTTCAGCTCTTGGATATATTTTTCACGACCCCCTCTATTTTGGGGTGTCCTGGACTAAACCCTCTCCTACGCTCGCGTTGATTCTTAAATGCTATACACTACATGTATATATCAACCAATCGCAGCTAAGATAGATATCTAAGCTTAATGCTTAAGCTTTCCCTTAGACATTAAATTAATGTTGGTATGAGCTACCAAAGATATCTGAAAGTTTCGATATAAGCTCCGTGCCTGCTCCTAAGCTTTGTGTCGTACAACTTTGACAAGGGGACGTCAGTGATAACAGCACGTCAGACCGCGCTTGACATGTTTATACTCTTGTTATCTAAAGTTTTTGTATCCCGGACTCCGTTCTCGGATATATGTCTTTGATAGTTACCATTTCGCCTTTTGAGCTCAGGTACGGAGATAGGTCTTGTAAATCTATATAAACATGTCTACCCTCTGCCTGTTTCTTCCTGGGTTCTTGGAATGAAGTGATCCTTAATTCATACGCACGCGGCTATATAAGTTCTACTCTGATAGCATAGCTACTAGCATCCAGATCGTCTTGCAATCGTCCTCTAACGAAGGCTCAGATTTTGCCATACGCTATACAAAATCAAGTCGAACGATATCCTTATTCAATCATACCTACCTGCCTACCTAACACGGTTTACCTTGCTCTTTATTTCTCACTTTTTCACCATGGATCTCACCAGCTCGGCCGACACGTCTCTTCAAAAGGTCATTACGACTCGTCAGTTCGTCTTAATGGCCCTTAGCAGCTCCATCGGTGCCGGTGTGCTCCTGGCTACCTACTCCAGTCTGGCAGTAGGAGGCTCCGGATCACTCCTCATATCTTTCACTGTAGTCGGATTTGCCGTGTGGATCACCATGTGCGCTCTGGGTGAGCTTTCGGCTGCATTCCCAGTCAGTGGCTCATTCTACGAATATTCGGTGCGTTTCATCTCGCCGGCCTGGGGTTTCGCTATGGGGTGGAACTACGTCATCAACTTCATCTTCATCGTCGTCTTCGAGCTGGTAGTCATGCTGCTCTGCACGCGGTATTGGGAACCGAACTTGCCAGCATACTACGTCCTTCCGGGCTTCATAAGCGGGCTCGTCCTTGTGAACGCGTTCGGCGCAAAGTGGTATGCCGAGGCAGAGAACGTCTTCGCGGTCTGCAAGATGATCGTTCTCACGGCCTTTGTTATTGTCGCCGCCCTTATCGTCAACAAAAACATTCCGGCTGATACTCGACCCGCTGAGGAGCTCGGGTTTAACTTGTGGGTGCAAAATGCATTCAGACATGGCCCTATCGGATTTCTCTACGTCTTTATGACTGCCGGGATGGCATATGGAGGAACCGAGATGCTTGGTCTCACCGCCGCTGAGTGTGAAAAGCCCCAGAAAGTTATGCCTATCGCTTGTAATATTGTGCCACTACGAATTCTTTGGCTATACCTGGTTCCCATCTTTATGCTCGGCATGGTACTTAAGGTATCCCTTGACGGCGAAGTTCAATCCGGTGGAATCAGCCCCTTGGTTGCTGCAATGGATCAAGCCAATCTCCCAATAATTGGTAGCATCTTCAACGGCATCATCATCATCGCCATCTTTTCGATGGCGAGCGCCAGCGTTTTTGCCTCGTCGCGAGCTCTTCAAGCCATGTCGGCAAGAGGAATGGGGCCACGTCTGTTCGCAAAGATAAAACGAGGTTACCCAATCTGGGCACTGGCATTGGTATTCTCAATCTCGCTCTTATCGTTCATCAAAATATCCAAAGACGGTGATATAGTGTTCAACTGGCTCTTGGCTCTGGCTTCTGGCTCAAACTACTTTACCTGGATTTCCATCTGCGTATGCCACATCCGACTCCGGCTTGCTATACGTAGAAAGAGGCTGGAGAATCGAGATGTACTGAAGTGGCAATCTCCACCTGGAATCGGCGGAAGCATGATAGCGATTGTAATATTCGTTTTTGGCCTCGCAGCTCAGATTATCGCGGCGGTGCAGAGTCCGCTCCCGAACCCCCCTCATGTTCTCTCAAGCTTCCTAGGAATTATTGTTGTTTTCGTATTTTGGGCAGGATATATGGTACTCGGGAACAGTGTGCTTTTGACTCCCCTCGATCAAATCGACCTTCAGGCTAAGGCGACGGAGCCGGTTGAAAATGACGAGAACGTCTAAATTACTAGAAACGGAATGTCCCATAATTATTCATAATATATTAATATAGATAGAGGATGGCAGTAATTATTATTTATATGCCTATTTGTGTTTACTATGATACTTCGTCTCTCGTGAAAAAGTAGGTGTATGTTATGGGACGGAGAGGTTGTGGATATTTATCATGTACCTATGTAATTGAAGTAGGTACTTCGTACATGTCGCTAATTGGATTGAAAGCCTTAGGTACATAGGTACATGTGGCTATGCGTACCTACCTAGGTAACACAACGCTAGAGCTGATACTACATGTACCTAGTAACATAAAAGGTAACTAATCGATAAGCAACAACTTATTTAGTGCGTAAACGACGACCTACTGCACTTAGCGGATACAAACCCACCCACCCACACAACCCACTATCCACTATCCACTAACTTAAGGTATTGCTAGCTTAAGCTTTAGGTCGCGTAGGAGCTCCGCCTTTGTCCCCTTCCCTTTCCAATCATGAACTTCCCTCCTCAACCTTCACATCCCCTCGAAAACCCCCAACAACAAAACGTCGGCTCCCAAAACCGACAGCTACCACAACAGCAACCTGTTTACTTGACAAACGGCCCCGGTACCATGCAGGGTAACGGCTCTGGCGCCGGTCCTGGCGTAATGTCGATTGGGCCCACGCCCGCTGGCCATCAGGCCGAACTTAATATTATCTATGGCATGGTCGAGGAGCTGTCACGTCAGCTGGCTGAGAACAGACGAGTGACTGAAGATATTGTCTCGGGACTTGGGAGGGTGCGAAATCGGGCGCGAGACCGTGGCTTAACAAATGACCAGGTGCTTGGAGAAGCAGCAGATGAAATATTTGGTATGTTCTACGTTCTATTATTCTTGGTACCCATGTCTTTGGTTGCTCAATCGCTAATCACGCCAGTACAGCGCAAGAACCGAATTTAGAGGCTCTCGTGTCCATCTTAACAGAATCCCTCGACCGCGCTAAACTCTCCCGTGACGCCAACTTCTCTCTTCTTACCAGTTACGCCCGAGTTCTCGCTAATATCCTCTCCCAATTCCACGCCTACAAACAGAAGCATATCGCCGACGTATCTGCCTGGCACCGTTCCTATCGAGCCCAGCTGGCTGAAGCCCGCGCCGAGAATTCGCGCCTGCGCGAGCAGATGTGGGAAATGCAGGAACACGCCGGCCGTGCCAACCAGATGCTGCGCGAGTTCCGCAAGAAATACGACGAGAACGAGGAGCGATGGGAGAAGCGTGTCGACGACAAGGCTAGAAGACAGGAGATCCGCTTCTGGAAACGTATGGCTATGCCCGAGGTTGCCGAGTCCGAGGAAGGGTACTGGAGCGATGACGACGATTTAGTAGACCCCGTCGAGAAAGAAAGGTTGAAGGAGGTGGAGCGCAAAGTTGCCGAACAAGCCCTTGCCGGCGTTGGTAGTACCAGCAGCCAGGGGGAGGATTCAGAGGGAGAAGGGGGCGAGCCGCGAGCCCTATCAGCGAGCATGATTGGTGGCGTGGCCATGGATAGAGATGGAAGTGATATTGCTAGGATCATACCGGTACCACCTCCGAGACCGGCTAGTACAGGGAGTACGGGGAGCATAGGGCAACCACCCAGCTAGGAGGCTGAGCCGACTTTGCCTAACACTTAATATGCATTAGTATGGCGTTGAGGCTGATTCGATTGAAGAATAATACCCCGAGGGAAAAACGATTCGAGCTAGCTAAATTACTTATGCTACCTATCCCGAAGACTCAAGTAAATATGAAGTCTCGCTAGTAGTCGCTAGGCTATCTGCCCTTTTATCTTCATGTTGTGCGCTTGTATATACTAGATTATATCAAGGCATGTTCACAACACTAACCGTCCCGAGGGAATAAATTCCTTAGTGCAAAATATCTTCCCTAGAATGTTCTCTAGGCAGTCAAATATGAAGCAGTATTTCGTTAACATAGTAGCTCATGACCAATAATCATATACGTATAAAGCTGAGATTATAAGAGCGTGTCGAAGGTGTCCCGAAATTAAGGGCAGTATGGCCAATAGCAAAAGTGTGATTTCCGCATACTCCCCTAAAGATACTTGATAGAGGGCACGAGCTATGGAACGGCATTGTGGTTATCGAGAACCAAGTCGCTGCCTGGCATGCGACACCGCCAGCCGGCCAGTCACTGACTGATCAATCTCTTAGGCAACGAGGTACAGCTGCCAAAGTACCTACCCACCAAGTAAGGGTTATATATCCTAATTGCAAAGCAACTTCCAACCGACGCCCCTCGCCTGGGCGACTTGAGGCCAGAGAAAACCCCACTGTGGTGTCTTATGCTGGACCATTCTTACGAATGTGACTTGACAGCAGATACCAAACGAAGCCGGTTTTTTGTAGGTCTTGGGTTCAAATCTCCTGCCCCTATCCCAGGGGATTCGAACCTGGGGCTGAGCTTTTTTATTTTTTCAATTACTTTTTACGTACGTTTTTAAAGTCTTGTTTTCTTCTTTTCCCCCCTCTCTTTCCCCTTCCTTTGCACATCCTGATCATATGCGGCTCGCATGCGCGTATGATACAGTTGATCTAGCTAACATGACAATTTCCTAAATTTCTATTTCTGCTATTGTACAAAAGGGAATTAAGACTATTAATATATCATTTTGCACTTTCCATATAGACGATAAGTGGTAGAACACAAGTTAGGATAATCCTTTGCGGAGAGGGTAGCCTAGTAGCTTTCAGTCACATATTTCATATGTGCTTCAACTATGTAAATAATTCATCAAATAGTATTATTAATAACATAAAAACGCATTAACGAGGATATTATTACCAAATGTTAAGATTCCTTAATAGCCGATATGTTAAAGCTTATTTATTATCAAGCAACGAGGCAATTTTCTAAGCTAAGGCTTAGCTATAACTATTGTATGCATATTAGTAGAGATTCTTAAAGTTAATAATCACATGGCGGCTATTCTATTCGATGCTGTGTTGAAAAATTGAGGATCTGAAGTTCATATATACCTAACCTAATATACATATATATAGTCATAGCCCCTGTAATATGCCCTTGCACTCACTCGCTTCTATTAATAGCCACCTCCCGTAGGGCTGCATGGATATGGTACATACCCCCATTTCAACAATGGGGAGAGCTAGTCCTGATTTGACCTTACTTTTATAAGCGAAAGTGGGAGAGTCTTGGTGATCGTCGCCAAGAACACTGCTATGACGATAGCAAGGATAACAATATATAAAATGCGTTTCGTTGTTTCGTTGAAGATCGGGTTGCATAGTCGTATACTGAAACCACCTGGGCCAGATAAATAAAGATGCTATAGTTTACACTGATGCACCGAGGCTACTCGTATGTATGTAGTCCAGGACGTAGAAAATAGAGGGTCGAAGGATTCGGAACTGTCAGCCAATGAAAAGGAGTCGCTGTTGTGGAGTGTACGATGACAAAAAGAACTTGGTGAATCTGGTATAAGTAAATTAAGCAACTAAGTCGTGACCCTTAGAATTAATATAATAATCCAACTCACTCATACCACTATGAAGCTCTAGGATGGAATAGTTAACTACGATCTACCTATGATGCTATAACCCATAGTACGCAAGCGAGAGGCACGTATTAAATGAGTTGATAATTCCCCGCAATGTCTGTACCTCCGGGGGGTTGGGTCTGTGACTGCTGGGCTGCGACTCTTCGTGTTATTAACCAATCCGAAGCGCCTTTCCAACCCCGATCTCCTTCTTCCTCACAGCATCTACCCCGAAGCATGTCGCTTAGCGATGTGCTCACTCTCGGCCGCAACCTTCTCCAGCATTGGGAACTCTTGAACGGCTGCGCTAGCTCTGACACCCATCTTAATCCGTTGGTCTTTCGCTTCATAGCCGACACTATTGGCCGCATTCTAACTTTGCACGAATTGGCTATCGAGGGTTTGTCAAAAAGGGATGCGCCGGAGCTGAGTGTTTGGCAGAGTTCCGGTACCAGACCCAATTTGAACATGTCCGGAAATGCCATGTTGCCGATTCGGAATACAGCACCGACGTTTATTTCTAGCCTGGAATTAGACGATGAGGAAGAAATTGCCATCGTCGGTCGGGAAGCTTTGATACATTCTCTTATGCGTCTTGGGGCTGTACTACAAGATATCGAAGAGGAAACTCGCCAGTTTGATCAGGGCCAGTTTACTGTTGTAGATAAACCGCTGCGAGATAAAGAGATAAAAGAGCTCATTGGGAGGTTGTTTCGCCTATTAGGAAAGGCCAATTAAGTCGGGAGGATGTATGAAGCACGCAGGTATATTTACTTCAGATAGAAACATAGATCTGAGTATCATCTGAAGAATCAAGACTTTAACATGATTCTGTTATATAGGGTATTGCCATCTTTACGCCACCTATTCACGTCATGATACCGTAAACCAACTCAAAGTTCCCTTCTCCTACCATTTTTTTGGGTATCACATTTACAAGTCTTACGCCATCAACGCCATCCCCCCTTGTAGCGACTCCATCCTCCTCAACAAGTCCTGTATCAAGAGCTTCGCGGCATCCCCTATAACCCCCGCGCTATCACCCCAATCGAGCGGACCGGACAGAGTATCCCTTGGATAGCTCTCCTGTCGTACGCTTCCCATTTCCCCCAGCGCCGCCTGTATCTTCCGTATCCGCAGCCGCAATATTGCCATGACAGCACGCGCCTTAACCGGGGATTCCACCAGAAAGTCGCCAACCCGTATGTTGAGGTCGGCCGACGGAATAGGGAATATGCACGGCTGGTCGAGTGAACTGCGAAAGGAGCGCTCGAGACGCCGGGCCATGGTTCCCGGAAGGGGATCGCCAGACGGGTCTCGGATTATCCCGCTTACGGAGTTGGATCTCGACGCAGCGAAACGGAAGTTTTCCTCGAACATGGCGACGACACGTTCTGCCAGAATAGAGAGACTGAGAAGCACGGGCCTGTCGGAGGTGAGACAACTGCATCCACGATGCGAGTGGCCCGCGCAGGAGAAAAGGCAGCGATGAAGGGCTCGAAAGTCGCGCTCTGCTTCGAGTACGAGGTCTATTGGCGGCGGATGTGGTGCAGCGTTTAAGGCCTGCTCTAGCTTTGAAGTTCGCGTGAGGATAGCTGTGTAGCAGTCGGTACTAGAGCCTGAGACATCTTTCCCAATCGGCCCGTCAAGATCAATCGGAGGAGCGGACCTCGGAGTTGTGTTTGACGGCCCCGAGCTAAAGGGCCCGATGTTGCTTGCTGGTACAGAGGCCCAAGAGTCTACCTCGTGGCGCGGAGTTCCGTCATGATCAACTGCATGATCAACTGTGGAAGCAAATCTGTTAGGTTGGGAGTAATGAGACGTATCGATCTCGTTACCCATCGGACTAGGATCCCAATTCCGGAGATGATCTTGCGATGCGGTGGCAGCGTAGGACCCCAGGCCCATGCCAACGAAGTCTGCCGTTAGGGGAGGATCGTCTCCATCCGCACATCCCCGTTGACGGTCACTTGTAGTAACACTCTTCAGTGTCGGTGCCATTGTCTCAGGACTTGGTGGACTTGGCGGACTCTTATCTACAGAACTCATCGAAGCGACAGTGTCAACTTTCTTAGGTCTACCCATGCGCCTCAGAGGGCTATAGACGCAGCGGATCCCTTTGCTAATGCATCTTTTACACGACGGTTTATCCTGGCTACATCGTAATTTGATGTTTTGGCAGCGATCGCATGACGTGCGGTACTTGACGGGCTTGCTAGGAGCTAGAGGTGATGCTGCCATTTATGTACGGTTTGACCTGAAAGCGACAAGATACGTTGTTGATTGTTGTCCTTGGTTTAGGTACTACTGGATATTTCTTTCCAAATTAGGTTTGAACTGCCTGGAGCCGTGATGGCTTCATTTTGATTTATAAGTCAGCTGAAAGCTGACGCTTACTAGGTACTAAGTGATTATATAATCGGATCGAGGTAAAGGGGCAGCATCAGTGGTTACACGGAAGGGCAGTTCGGAAAAAGGAAATACCGCGCCGCAATTATATCTTATATCTTCTTACAAGTGATATTATAAAAGATATCGATGCGCGCAGTCTTTTCAACAAAATCGAATATTGTAAGCAACTATTACTATTATTTAGTTGTGTCGTTATAAAGACATGGTTTTCTTTTAGAAACAGTATTACTTATGGTGGAGACGAGAGAAGTTCATAAATTAGATACCTAGATTCACTTATTATAGTTCAACTTCCCCTTTCAAGAATGCCGGTTATATTATATTATATGGAGTACGTGCTTATGTTTACTCCGTTATAAGTCTCTTGCGCATGATTTGCGGTATATCTACAACTATACAGATGAGCTTGGTAGACTACCCGGTATATTTAATTTGATTATTCCTAACTCATTACAAGGGCTGACGTAGATCGACCGCATGGGCGAGAATATAATATCTAGAAATAATAGAATGAATTTTCCTGATCTGCTTCATAACATGCACAAGGTCAACCCATACAAGACGCCATAGATTTTGCCTGCGAAGTGACTATAGCTAATGGAATCTTGCTGCAATATAAAGTTGTTGCCTTTTAGTAAGACATCATCGCCTACGTCGCGCAGATAAATCAGCGGGGCAAAGTCTCTTGCGGTATGATTCAGTTCTTAACCGGCTGTGGTATCGGAAGCTAAAAAGACAGCAGGTGCGAGGCGCCAGCAGAAGCAAGGCTAATAAAGAACAGCATATATAGGTAGGTAGGTATATATTACCTATAAATGAAGTGGAATTTGTCCCACCAATTAGCAGCCTTAAGATTCGGTATTTGCCCATAGTTGTGGTACGCGGCATGTGTGGTTAACTTGCACTTGACGATATTAGAACATGTAGCTAAATATATTAATTGTAGGCTTGTCAAACAGGATGATATGGTAAATTGGTAGGTTGGCGAGTGTTAACTATATTTAACTATATTATAACTAGCCCTTATATCTATTATTATTGTTATTTTATCATACGTATGGAGCTGCATGAGTTTCGTCCTACGCTCGTATATAAAAGATTAGACATCGGGCCTTAAGATCTCAAATGATAAGAGATTTGTGGATCGCAAGATGATCCGCCTATTACTTAACAAAACGGGGGCTAGACCCGCGAGTTTGGAACCGGCCGTTAGCATGGACGTTAGCTTGGACGGTAGCTTGGACGGCAAGGGTATTTCTCCAAGCATAATCGTGGCAAGTGATTAGCGATCGCTCCGCATTTAATCCGCATTGAACTCGATTGGCAAGTTGAGACGAAAGGCAGTGCAAAACTGCTGAAGATCTTGTCTAAATCAAATACTTGCCAGAGCACAATTCAACATGGAACATCCTAAGCACCCGGCAGTCCGTGCCAACTTTTCAGGGGGTGCAATCCCTCTTCCGTCTTGATCGGTTGCGGCCCGCAATCGTGATGGCCTTTTATTATGTAGTTATAGCCTATATATTCTCAGAACGAGTCATGCATATTTCATGCAAGGCGCAGCGAGTCTTTCTCATAGGCACCCTGAGAAAGGAACCTTTTATATCTGCGAAAATAGATAGAAGCAGGAGCCCTTAAGGAGGAAGAGGGTATTGAGGACATGGGTCGAAATATGAATCATGTTTCACAGCATGGCGGGGACAGCATCACGACATGGGTGATTCCTACATAGCAAGCAGGCCTCGCTCGATTGGGAATCTAAAAGATCTGATGATTTGTTGGAAGGGATCATGAATTCTGACCGAGGTTCCCTCTAGCTAGCAAATGCGCCAACAGCCTGGAAGCACATGCAGGTGAATGATTGTTCCTTGTAGGTATTTAAGTCGAGGCCGATATAGGAAAACCGGCTCCGATCACCAAAAAGGGAGGTGAAACAACTTTCACTGGCTTCTGATAGGTTTATTTAGAACCTATCGACTAGTCGGCGATTACTCACTCCTTATAAGGAACACAGAGCTGATATATGTGAAGATTTATACATCAAAAAAGAAACCAGCTCTCTATCGGTATTAGTAGAGGGTAGAGGAGCAAATGCTGTAAGACGTCTAGACCTTTTACAAGCAGACTGTCGTGTCAGGTCGGGTAGTAATGAGGGACTTCGCCCGTTAGTGCTCATTGGCCTAGGCCGGAGCTAAGTGAAAAGAAAAGAATATTACTGGACGGAGGGTTCAAGCAAAGATCCCAAGCACTTGCATGTCGCCGGACCTGCGCCGTCCGGCATTTTCAACTGATAAGATGGGATTTTGGTAGCAAACCTAGCCATAACTAGGAAAAGATATGCACTCTTCCTCCGTTGGCTCGACGGAGAATTTTCTCGAACTCGAAAAGATCGTCGGTTACTTCTCCGGAATTGAATATAGCGCGAAAGCAGTCAGCCTCTAACGTATTACCATTCACAACAGGAAACAACTTAAGCTGTGCTGTTCAACAGAACCTATAATGCGGAGGACGTAGACGAGGGGAAGAATGGAGTCCGTCATTGTATGACCAAGCCTATTAAGCGCTTCGGCGTACGCTCATTATTCTCGAGGCGGCGTGGTAAGATATATATTTAATATGGTTCGTGGGAACAGGAGGTATTGCTGGGCGCGCGCTTAATACAAACGGAATTATTTCCGACCCCTTCCCGCGGCTATTGTCAGTAAACATTTAATGTAGCAGTGGTAGCTCTTAGTGTTGTAATCGGTAAATGTGAATAGTGATACTGATTGTTACTCTGATATCTTTGTTGAGTTGTTCATTCGTATAATATTACAGTAAGACGGTTGTGTTGGTTGTAACCTGAATATAGCTAGGTACCTAAAGTAAAAATTGAAAATTAAAGCCAGGCTTAACCAATTCAGTTCAGTAAGATACCTTAGGTACTTACAACCTGTACTACTGCACTATGCAAGCCCGCAACTGCACACATATGTACCTACCTATACACGAACTACCTAGGTTAGGTATGTACCTATATAAATTAAGCTTTGGGTACATAGCTGCATATGTAGGTACATACATGTAGGTAGGTAAGATGTACCGAGAAAGGAAAGAAGAAAGAATATGTAGGGCATGGGGCCCCAGTTTATCTTTCGTTGTTTCACCATGAACCTCTGCCAACCATTAGACATAACATCCAAACATCCAAATTTGTATAGTACCTATCTGATTGGTTGTTGTCATACATAATACCGTGCTGAGTGCAGATGCCAACTCAGTATATGCCGTACAGTACCTTGCATAACCAGGGGCCACGCTAAGCTAGCTAGCCTATTCTAGATGCATGGTGCCCCTCCTCTTTTTTCTCCTTCATTTTCTTCATCCTCGCCAAATCGATTTGCACCAACCTGGGCTTGCCCCTCTCTCCTACATGCGGGAAACCTTTTTTAACGACCTGGCGATAGACTGTTGGAACCGCGTCGGCTGCCGGCCTTCGGTCTACGAGAATTTTACAGAGCTTTGCAGTCGAACTTATGTACAATGCATCTCACATCATACTTGCCAACTCATCGTGGTTGGTTGTACAAGCCTTAAGAAAAAGGGGTTTGCTGCTCAATGAGACGTCAAGAATATGTTGGGCTACAATATGACAGGTTTTCTCTTGCTATTATCCATCATAATATTGCCACTGTTAATGCTGACTGAGAGACTAGACCCGTTGGGCTCCATCGTAAAAAGTTGAAAGGTGACGGATCAAGCCCACGCCGCCCGGAGCTTTTTAGGAGCACGACACAACAGGCAAGACAGAGAGCTCGGCGCGTCGCGGATAGTCAGTGCTAGGGAGAAAATCCAAGATCTGGACTGGCCAGTTCTGGCTCAGAATTCAGGAACAGCGCGCCCAATGTCACTCTGAGGTTCCTACCCACCATCTCAGGCTTATCCAGATGCTACCAGGCCATATCCAAAGCGTATTTCCAGTCAGTCAAAGCCAGTCCAGGACCTGGCAGAAAACAAAAACCAAGCAACCCCCTGCCGGTTTCACCCTAAGCTCCCAGAATTAATTTCCGTGCTAGTTACGTATCATGCCTCCTATTTCTCTTGTACCTATCACCTATCTATTCGCGTCGACTATCCGATGTCCTTGGACTATGCACCTAGAACTACTAGGTTCTATGTTTTCTTCTAACATCCACTTTTTAGGCAGTGCCACCATCTGTTTAGATCCGCGTGGATCTATCGAGCTCTCGTCAATGCAGTGGAGCCCATAACTCCTTGACCGAGTGGTACTGCATACAACACAACCGGGTCTCTATTATGGGCTCTTAATATATATCTCCAAGGTGAACTACTTCCGAGCTCTTCTACTAGTCTTTTTCTCTCCGCGCCTAACCATTGTGCATTTACGCTCTCTTCTTCTGCCTTGCTAGCCGAGTTTATATACCACATTCTTTTTTCACTTCAGTGTTGATAACTAGTTGTCAACTTGTTTGCTTCGTCTTTCGTTTTTAACTATATCCGTCAAACTCCCTGCAAGTCAGGATTCTTTCTACCATTGCAGCCAGGATAGCTCTCTCTTTACCACATCTTAGCCCAAGTCGACTCTCTTAGAAAGTCTATAGAACCAGGGCATTTACTGTCATTATACAACTGATCTCAAAACTCGGCACTTCCTGTCATTTCCGACTTTAGTCCTTCAAAATGCGCTTCCAGCAAAGCATCCTCGCTTCCCTCGTCCCCGGCCTTGTCGCCGCTATTGCCCCGCCGAACATCCAGGGCATGGACATCATTTTCTCCGAGTCTTTCGAGGGGACAGCAGGCGCCTCTCCTGACGGCAACACATGGAACATCATGGATGCCATCAACACCAACAACGAAGTCCAGACGTACACCACCTCGAACCAGAACGTTCAGATCAGCGGCGGCGGTACCATTCAGTTCGTCCCCCGGAAATCGCCGTCTGGCCATTGGACCTCGGGACGTATCGAGACTAAGGGATCCTGGACTCCCAAGGCCGGCAAGGTCTTTAGCATACAATCAAGCCTCCTATTAGGAAATAACCCTAACAAGCAGGGCATCTGGCCTGCCTTCTGGGCTCTCGGCGATGCTATGCGCCACGGTACCCAATGGCCCGCTGCTGGAGAAATAGATATTATGGAACAAGTTAACGGACTTCTTACCGGCTATGGTACCGTTCACTGCGGGCCCGACGCTGGCGGCCCTTGCAACGAGCCCCTCGGCCGTGCCAGCACAACTCCTATGTCGCCTGACGGTTTCCACACCTGGGGCGTTACGATCGATCTCACAAACGACGACTGGCGAGCGCAGACCATTACATGGCACCTGGACGGCAATAGCTTCTATATTCTCACCGGAGCTGATATAAACGATGCTCCCATCTGGTCTTCTCTGGCCCACAGCCCCTTGTAAGAATCCCTATATTACTAACACCTGGTGAATGATTACTAATTCTACGTCTCAGATATATCCTCCTTAATGTTGCTGTCGGTGGTGACTGGCCTGGTCTACCAAACTTGGCTACGCAAGATGGCTACGGCAGCATGATGGAAGTTCAATGGGTTGCCGTCTACTCGTCCTAGACAGTATTCTCCGATTGCGTGGAACGTTATATGGTATCTCAAAATAGAAGTGGGTGTATATACGGGAAATTGGCGTTTGTCAGATACTGGGTTCGGGATTTTTGGATGAAGCGCTCGAGATACCTCTACGTGTTACGTAATTATTTTCTTCTATATTGCCCCGGGAGGCAACTTAGCCATTTTAGTCGCCACATCTGCTTTTAGAAGTATAGTAGATGATACATCTTTAGGCGTTTCAATTAGACACGATGAAATGAATCTGCGAACTAGCTGACTGTTAGACGTATTTACAATTCTACCAACTTTTTAGTTTCCATTAACAAATACTAACACGTGCTATCTTACGTTGGCTAGGTTAGCCACTCAACAATTTACGCCATGACTTCACGCGTACGTTACGCGTAATGAACTCTGGTCTCTATGGCTGGTGACGCCTAATTCGGTGCGGGTCACTTATGATGCTCAGCAACCTTAGTTTTACATATCATGTTACGCTCGAAGTCACTAGAATTTTTGCACACATTTAAAAATCCTAGATGATGACTTCTGGGCCTATCTATTTATGTGCGGCTTGAAGAAATATAGGTATCGTCTTAGTTCTATATAACCTGTATCTACGTCTAGCTTAGGAGCTGTTTGTCGTAGTAGATTTTTTCTACATTGTGTAGCGGAACTAGGTGAAGTACACGTGTTAGATGAGGTAGCCTTTAATAGGGGTAATAAGAATAGGGGCCAGCTTACATAAGGATTCTCGAAGTCCGTACAGTCTTGTTCTCCGAGCTGTTTGCCCCTCTCTACTCTCTCCTCCTCGGTGATGCCTTGCTCGCTCAGCCACTTTTCGCGCCGTCGATTCCGCATGACTAACACAATCCGCCATGCTATCAGGACGATGAACTCGAGCCCAAAGCATACGGCACAGCCGGCGGTACCGGGGATATATCGTGGCTACATATGTTCTTGTAAGTGAGATACTCGACGTTTTCATGCTGAAGGGGGAATACGCACGGCATCCTTTGCAAGGAAGATTTGCGATCCGACCATGTTGCCCACGCAGTACCCGACAAAAGTGAATGACGATGTCAACGTGCGCTTTGTGCGTCCGGCAACGTTTGAGGGAATTAGTGTCCAAGCGAGAAACAACGCTACCACGCACGGGACAGTGATGAAGAAACTATTTTCGCCCAGCTCTTTGTTAGTATCTATACTCTGGGTTTATTGGTCTTATGAATAAAACTACTCACCCTGCCCACTTAATCCACTTGTAATGAGGTTCGTTAGGCAGCGTCGCCATCATAATAAAGCCCGCTACCGGAGGAACGACGGAACCAATCATGAAATACCTAAGATTTCGAGTCAGCTAGTCCTCGAAAGCCCAAAAAGCCATGTACTATCTTTCCGATGCGACTCACATGCGAAGGTTCTTCTTCCTGCTTGTGACAATACCGATGAAGGTGAACCATAACACGGACGTGAGATTCCGCGGTATATCGAGGAGAATCACTTGTAAATTAGCTATAACACTGTTAGCCCTCACCTTACCCAAAGGATTATATCCGAAACTGACTGAAACCGAAGCTGGTATTGATAATGGATCCGAAGGCGGTTATTCCACCGTTAGGCACCGAACTCAAGAACGCGTTGACTCCAGCTAACCAGAACTACAAAGGACGCAATTATGTTAGTGAATATAAGGTCCACACCGGGATTCTCCCTGAGTTAGGTACTTACGCAGGGATCGACTAGACATTCCCGCGCTTGATTCCACTTCCATCTCTTGATGCCGGTCCGGTCGTGGCCAGTGTTATTGCTCATAATGCGGGCATTGGCTATCTTCCTCTCTTCCGGGCTTAGCCATCTTACTTCGGACGGGGTGCCAAGCAGGGCTAGGCACAGAAAGCCGGTGAGAATCGTCATGCCACCGAGGAACTATTTCGGTAGACCAATAGGTAACCGTTAGCATAATCACGAGTAATTATACCCTACCTTGTAGGGACCAGTGCTGTCGACTCACATAAGACATGTATCGCCAAGCCTGGAACTCAGGGCCCCGAGAGTACTGTAGCGATCCAATCCCGTAGAGAATTAAGTTGGCAATGATTCCAAAACCAGCATTGGCGCTCTGGAAGACGAGCGACCGCGACGCATGTTCGCGTGTCGTATACCAGCTTCCAATGACGAGAATGAAGCCAGGCGAGATACAACACTAGATAGGGGCGACGTCTTGTAAGTACTCACATGTTTCCGTGCCTTCAGCTCAAGGAAATAAAACTCACCTCGAACATACCCTGCAGCGCACGTAGGGTGACTAGCTGCGTGAAGTTGTGCGTAAACCCGATACATAGAACGATGACACCCCAGCAGATCATATAGCATGATAACGTTCGGCCCATTAGATACCGCTGCAGGAGGATGTTGGACGGGAACTCGAAGCACATGTACGTGATATAAAATATCGTCGTGAGCCATGAGTATTGCTGTCCAACCAGTCCAGTATCCTAAGTCGGTGTTAGTAGAGGAACTGGTTAGATCAGGTACCTAAGCTTGTGGAATTCTAGCAGGTTAGTACCTTTGCAAGGCCAAATGTGGCCTGCGTTCCGATCGAAGTTTTGTCTGTCTGTTGGATGCCATAGCAAAGCCACATCAATGGTAGAAGATATCTATCAGCCTTCCTTTTCAGCTGTTTATACTGCTCGTCGGTGTATTTTGGAGCTGTTAATTAATAAGCATCTCAATTGCCGATAATATAAGATGAGGTGAAGTCAAACCTGAATCATCTTGAAGCTCGCCAGCCGCTATACTACTTTTCTCGCTCATCTCCACATCGTTTATCTTCTCCGGGGTTTTCTCCGAGCTACCGGATATCTGCAGGGGATTATTCGTTTCTACCGGAAGCATCGATATCTCTACGTTTTGCGCCATTATTGACGACGTATTGTGAAACTCAATGAATGTTCTCGTGAAAATTGCAAGACATTATATATAAGATATATGGGCACGTTGTTGCTTATATGCAGATGTAAGCCTTAATTAGAATCTGGGTAGACCCCGCGCGACCACAAGGACGCCATGTTTATCTCGGATGAGATAATGTAGATAAGAATACCGACGTGCATGGGATGCGGGCGACGTCTACGACTTGCTTCCCATCCGGAAGTTCGTATCTCCAAGGATGCTGACTGGACCGGCATCATGGTTTGGTTGATAAGATATTTTTCTACTCTTAATTTGACTGAAACAACAACTCTGAAGTTTATGTAAGTACCACTAACTAAGCCAAAATAGACGAAACATACTTTTAGATTCTTCGCATGTAACAACATTCTGCTTGGCAAAAGTCAACTTTGAGAAGCATATCTACTTCCTTATCTCCTTTCTGCTTGAAGGTGGAGTCCGGGGAAGATCGTTGTGCCTTGCAACCATGGAATCACTCCAATTGCTTATCAGGGCTGGTCTACGCCACGGCATTTAAACGGGTCTTGGTATGTAACCTCGGCTTAGATAAGTACCTTCTAGGTAGGTTACATAGGTACCTATCTACCTAATCTATTCGGACAGGACCGATGAATATAAAAAGCTTGGATTTGGTATAACACCTTGACCTTGACTGATGTGTTAAAATTATAAGAGTTGACATTTATAAAGTCCGTCATCTCGTTCGCGACTCTGGATGAGTTTATTAGGTCGCTGTTCATTAATTTGGCTCGGGAGAAATGGCTGGGGGTATTGAAGATATGGAAAAGATTGCATCGACTTATAGGTGGGGTGTTGTGTAGATGGGAAATGTCTTTCTAACTGAGCTCAACTCTTAGATGTGAATATTAGCAAGTAGATCGCTCCTAGATATCGATACCTATTTTAAAGGGTCCCTAGATAAGGGGTATTATTTTACTACGTATTCAATTCGCCGAAAATGACCCACAGTTAGGGAAGCATCGCACATTATTTAGGTAGTATTGAGATAAAGACTTTACGATAAAGGTTTAGCTGTATAGGTAGGTATTTATCTAGCTATTAGTAACGAGCTCTATGCGGTTCACTATGTATTAAGATAACCTAGACTGGGCTCCCAGGGTATGCGAGCTATACTGTGTACGCGTGAAACTTATGCTATTATTGGGTTCATATTGGATGATAAAAGCTCGCATAATTACTTGAAGTCTTCTCAAGAAGCACACCGCATCTATGAGTTGCTTTTTCCATTATTGCGGCAGGACCCAAAAGTCCGCTTCGTCACTTAAAATATGTATATTACCCTTGAAGGTGGAATAGGGCTTGAGCTTCTCATAAGTCAAGATATGCCATACTTTAGGATATGCATCCGTTAGGTTGCGGATTTACCTGATAGTTTTTATATGTATATTAAAGCACTGAGGGGAGTAGCAACCAATATACACGTACCTGAATCGAATAGTTTATATTCAGGCCTTTCGCTTCGTAACCTCCGTCTCTCCTAGCACTACGACCCTCACCCGCTTCCTGTCAAAGAACTTCTTCTCATCTTCGTCAATAATTTTCGCATTATCCTCCTTGCTCACGATCTCATAAAACCCTTTAAATATCTCCTCGCTCTCAAATACCATTTCCGCTACTACATCGAAATCAAAATCTTCCTGTGACCCCGCGATGACCTTGGCATTCTGCCCGTCGGCGCGCTGAATGTATCGTCGTGTGTGTGACAGGGGGAAACATGCGCCTGTTATTTCCTGTATGAGGAGGATATGCTCATCGTAGCGTTGTTTGAATTGGGACGGGGTGACTCCGGGGAGACGGTGGCCGAAGACGAGGACGTTGAAGGTCATTGTCGAAAGGTTCTAGGTCCTGCTTGCTTGGATGAGATCCCGAGAAGGGGAATCTGCCTAGATCGGAACCGAAACTGGTGATTCAATAGTATGATATAATATACGCTGTCAATAATGTTATTTAATTAATAGTAATTAAATATAACTGTTAGGGAAAGTCATGTTTCTTATATGTACAATACGTAGTTAGATGATGATGAATATAGGACTATAATAACACGTTTCTTCTAGTTGGTTCTAGTAGGTTCGAAATCTAATCGGTCTTATTAATCTAAAGTCTGACACGTAGTTCAATACCGGCGTAGCGATACGTGGCCTAGATGAAATCTTACAAGGCAAACGATCCTCATCTTTATATAAACCACTTTGATTTTCCATTATATTCCTATAAATCTTTTGAAACTGTGAGAATAGGGTGGCTTTCGACTATAACCCCAACAGCACGCTGCGGTAGGTTCTCTTCTCATCCTCTTCTTGTTTTACATCACGGAGCAGGTTCCCCAATCAACTCGGCCACCGTCCTGAGATGAGGTCCATTGGGACTGGGGGAGTTTGATCGTCTTGATTATTGAATCCATCTTGTGTAAGTTGCGTTTAGTTATATTGTGTATTTGTTTGTCAAGGCTAGGTTGGCTTTGCGCTTAAAGTTTACAATAGACTTGGATGTTATACCACCAGGAGTATGCGCCTTAAATCATAAATCACGGCCTTTGTAATGGTGTCTATGTCACATGGAACGGTATGATATGAAGTTGCAATAAAGGCTTTTTTTGTTTGCCTGAACGGCTTTTGTACATGGCTTGCATATGGTAAAGAAAATTCTATGATTGGATATAGCTGGCTCCTTGGCAATAAGGCATACTCACAGGGCGGTCTAGTTCTACTGAAAATAAGGTGTATTTCTTCCAAAGAGACATATAACAAAGCAAAGTCAGGCTATAATTAGGACGACGCCAATAATTCATATTAATAACTTGTGTTTTTCCTTTATACCTCTCTTTGGGCGCCTTCGTTCGTGTTATCACAACTTGGTCATATATGTAACAATATAGGTTTGATTAGTCGAAGTATATCGTAGAAATAAACGACTCCGAGCTTGAAGATAGCTCCGAGTCTATACTATCTGACCCTGCGCTATGTCTATGACCAAACGTAAGTCCTGCAGCTCCGTGCGATAGACGCCTGTTTCGAAAGCCACATTCCTTCTGAACCCTTGAAGCTGATGGCTTTAGTTTAGCCTTCGCTTTGTCTTGCCATTTTATGCAAAGGTGTGGTAGTACAATCTGATATACTAAATCCTGTAGCGGCCATGATGTTCTGTTCGTGATATGTGTATCATAGTAGTACCACGATCTTGTGAAATTAAATGTCAGGTTTCACATCTGTAAATATCTAGGAGGAGTACGTTTCTCGCCACCAAAATCTTGGTATGTATTTTCACTAGATTTGAATTGAGGAAAGAGCCTATGTTACTGATTAAGGTATAAAAGAAGAATAAGCACGGATAAGATGGAATCTGTTAACTAGTAGGGGACGCAGAAGATACCAGAGCTATACTTTGCGCACCGGTTCGTGATACGACTAAATCAGACGCAAGTAAGCATTAGCAACATTTAGTAGCCGATGCATCTTACACCGTCACAAGATTAAGTAATGATTATGGTAGGTCATGAAGCTTAGAGTGATTTCTGCTAACAGCTGTGCTTAACGTATGCCTATGCGTTGAAACTGGCCCGGGATGACTGCTTATGACTTGGAGAAGTGCTTTTTCTTATCACCTGCCAATAGATCCAAGCCTTCCGACTAGGATACTGTATGTTTACTTGCCAATCAGATTGTGGTGAGTTAGATCTACTTAGTTGAGTGCAGATGTGACTATTTGCTCTCACTCACTCTGTGCAGCATAGGGGGGAGGATTCCTCGCCTCCGCAAATAGGCTCTAGAGTCTCTCGAATCTAATTCCTCTGGCTTTTCTTGCCAAATTACGTATCTCCGAGCCGGTACCTTTGCGTCTCGCCTAGAACACTATCGAAATCTCCAATATGTTTTTGAAGACATCAGCATTTGCAGCCTTGCTCTTCTCTCTAGGCAGGAGCCAAAGCCACCTAGCACCGGTTGTTGACCTAAATTATGAGTTGTATCAAGGGTATTATGACGATAAATATGACATCAATGCATACAAAGGGTACAGCTTATTTCTCATGCAAAAAAGTATATGAAGCTCTAGCTAACAATATCCTAGGATACGATATGCCGCTCCTCCAGTTGGGAAGCTTAGATGGCAGCTACCACAACCCCCGAACCAAAACAGGACTCGAGTAATTCCAGCAATCGGCTATGCACCGCAGTGTCCCCAAACACTAAACTCTCCAGGGTACGTATAAAAAACTCCTACATGAAATCAAAGCTAAGTATAATAGGCCGCATAAACCGGGCCCATCCGGCTCCGAAGACTGCCTCTTCGTGAATGTCTTCACACCGGCAAACAAAACAAAGCTACCAGTAATGGTTTGGATTCGTAAGCTTTCAATGCTCCTCATTAAACCTCGGGGTTCTAATGCGAATAGATGGCGGTGGATATGGCCAAGCAAATGGGGGATTTGACCCATCACCACAAATCCATACCAATGGCAACACTTATATCATAGTGACGATCCAGTATCGGCTAGGGGCTTTTGGGTTCCTCTCGTCAGCTGATTTGGGTAGATCTGGTGTACCTAATGCAGGAATCCATGATATGTACTTCTCATTAGAATGGGTTCAGGCGTATATTCACCTATTTGGTGGAGATCCCGAACAAGTGACTATCGCCGGGGAATCTGCTGGCGGAGGTGGCGCCATGCTCCTTGGAATGGCTCATGGAGGTTTCGACAATACCGCCTTGTTCAAAGGTATCATCGCCACAAGTCCTTTCCTCCCATCTCAATGGTAAGTTGCATTTTTCGTATACTGTCGACGATCGCTTAATAAGTACTAAGAACTGCCATAGGGAATATGACGGCGCCAGGCCAACTGAATACTACTATCGTTTCGCGGAGAAGTTGGGCTGTCTTACGGATGGATCGAAAGCGAACGAATCAGTCTTCGAATGTTTAGTATCGGCAGACACGGTCGATCTTCAAACTGCTAGTGACTACGTCAGTACAAGAGCACCTCACGGCCAATGGGCCTTCGTTCCCGTCACGGATGGGAGACTTGTCCAAGAAAGGCCCACAGACCATCTCCTGGGAGGAGGGGGGCTTAATGGCATGCGTATCTTGTCGGCGAGTAACCTAAATGATGGCCCGGACTTCACTCCTCAAAATATAACGGATGAGACCGATTTCAGACGCTTTGTTGCAACCACCTACCCACTGTTAAGCGAAACGAACATAACCAACATCCTCAAACTCTATGCTGTCCCCCCAAACGCCTCAGATATATTAGTAAACTCCAACGGCGTGAGGTCACCATACTCGACAACCAACTCTGGATGGGCCTACGGCTGGCAACAAGCATCTACGAACCTATATGCAGAAACGTCATTCACATGCCCATCGTACTGGCTCGCCGACGCGTACGCAAATAAACGAGGTGGGAAGTCATGGCATTATCAACTATCAGTTCCACCTGGCCAGCACGGTCTCGACCTATACCCGTTACTCCAGCCGATAGATATTCCGGATACCAGTATGGACGAAGTGTTTCGCGCTGCTATCCAGAGGATTTGGGGAAACTTTGTAGTGAATGGCGACCCGACCCTCAGCGAAGCACAAATGACCGTTGCAGATAAGGGGAATATTGTTGCAGCAGGCTCTGGGGCATGGCCTCAGTGGGAGGCAGAACCGGGGTACAACTGGATGCTTAACGTGAATATGACCGGTGGCACACCAACTACAACGGAATTTGTCATCGGCGGTGTCCCAATTAACGTCACTAGCTATTTGCCTAGTAGCGACGAATCGATTCCACCATTAGTAGCCGACTTCGAGATTGCGGAAGGAGGTTCTTGGGAGGATGGGAGAGGGAAAAGGTGCCAATTATGGGCAGACCTCGGCCCCTGGATTAAGGAATAACGAAGACTGCACTGATGAGGACCTCAAGAAATCACGATGCCGCCGGTATGGAAGTAGCATAATTTTATGCCGAGTTTCTGGAACCTATCGATACGAGTACCGAATTTACATTTATCTCGGATTCCGCAGGACGGCTTCGCCCACCGGCTGTTCCGATGGCGACGGAGCCTCCTCGATGTCAGTATCAGCGGAACCCGCCGCTCCTCTCTTTGGAATATCATCTCTTTTTATACTCCAACCATTAGACCATCCAACCCAACCGGTTTCTCTTGGACCACGAATTATACCGACGATAATAGCTACGCCAATGAAAGCGATGTTGGAGCCACTACTCCAAACCCAACCCCCCTGAGCGTACAGTCTATTGCCGACAGCTGTACCCATAATTTGCCCACCAAAGGAGAAAACCATATATACCGTATTCACACGATTCCTCGCCTTCGGGTCGAGGTTATAAACATTACTGCGATTAGCAGTGTGCGTGAAGTTTGCACCCGAGTCCATCATGATGGCATGGATAATAGGCCCCGCTACCGTAAAGCTCCCGATGAAGGTGGATATCACAATACCAATAAACTCGAAACTAAGACCAAGAACGACCGAAAAGAGGAACTCGAAGCGATCTGTAATGAGACGTGACCAGACCGGAGCAAGTGCGACAACCACGATCCCAATAAAAGCAAAGCATCCGATTTCAAGAGAAGAATACTCATACGGCGGCGATGCGAGAAGGAAAGTCAGAGTTGTCCAAAAGGAGGTAAAGGCGGCGCTGAGGAGAAACCCAATGATACACGCCTGGGTGAGGAGCGGCTCCGTGACGACCATGACAGCCATACCCCACAAGACTTTAAAATAGTTAAGCCCCTTATTCTTTGCGGGATAGTCGGGGAGGAAGAAGTAGAGCAGCACTAAAGTTGAATATTGCGCGCCGAATGCTATCCAGTAGATGTTTCTCCACGACGTGAAGTTTGCCACTACACCTGACAGGACCCTCGCGATCAGTAAGCCCAGTGCTAATCCCGATACTACTACTGACAGAGAACCAGCACGGCGATGAGCCGGTGCTAAGTCGCCAACAAGCGGTAGCATGAGCTGTGGTGTGACTGTTCTACTTGACTGTTAGACATGAAGTAAAACATGAAGTAAGGGGTACTAGAAGAAGCACTGCGTAAATAATAATAAATAGGGGCTTACCCAACTCCACACAGAAACGACAAGCTAATAAATACTTCGAAATTATTCGTAAGACATAACCCAATCCACTGTAAGATTTCACTAGGTAAGCATATAACACGAGTTGTCGTCTATAGTCGAACACTCACAATAGTTGCGGTCACCCATATAAGGAAAAGAATAAACGGTCGCCGCGGAACCATATCCGCCAAGGGGCACAGAAACAGCAGGCCCACGGCATATCCCGCTTGCGACAACGTGGCGACGTCAGAGGCGCGTTCGTAGCTCACATTGAAGTCCCTAGCTAGGACGTTCAGGATTGGTTGCGCGTAGTAGAGGTTCGCAACGGTGAATGTTCCGCTCTAGGAGAGGTCAGCTTGGGGGGGATATTGGTTAATTGGTGTTGGTTGGCAGCATGCATTAACATACGAAAGCAAATAATATGTTCAGCGCGAGGGTGAAGTTCGGTGGGTTCTCGGGGTCGTAGCGGCAGCGTTGCGGCATCCAATT